TAATTGATAATAAATTAATGAACCAAATAATATGAAAGACTAAATATTAAATACTAATGAGGCAAGTTCGTCCACCAGTTGAATCAACCATCCCTATTGAAAATCCAGTGTCATTTCACATCAAGTTCACACTTTGGAATCTTTCTCAACTAATTTTGATGAGGCACTTTGCTGGGTATTGACGTAGATCGCCGGTGCGCTACTGTGCTCTCGCACGAGAGTTGAGGTCGTCTGCGAATCTCGCTTCGTGCGATGAGAACCGCTCAGCAGATAGGTCAAAACAATACTGGGTGTTCTTCTGGTATGTCTACGGAACAGTGTTTTAAAAGCTTTATAAAAATCCGGGCGGAAAAACGTGTAGAGCAGCGGGTTTATGAAAGATGTCGAATATCTGATAATTGTAAAAGTGTCCACGGCCCATTCTGGGAACGGGTGTCTCGCTTTTGAAATAGCATTAAGGAGACTGGTCACAAACCAGAAGAGCCAACATACGGTGAAAATTAAAAGCAGCACGGCAAATAGTATGGCTGCTTTATACTTGTTCTTATTTATATTACACAGCTTGTGGGCCGGGCAATTTTGTCTGCGAATTAACTTCAACGCGTTGATAATCTTAGAAAACATCCGCGCATGCGCGAATATCATGAGGGTTAGCGGCAGTAGGAAACCGAACGAGAACGCAAAGATTTCATAGATTGACATTTTGCGTAAAAAATCTTCGCTAGGCTGTCCTCGAACGTCGGTTAGCTCACCAATAGCCCAAGTTAGTGGCGTTACGGCGATAACCAACGCGCCAAACCAAATAGTTAAGGCAATACCAAGGACTTTTCGTTTCTCGATCTTAACGCGATGCTCCATCGGTCGTAAGATAGCGTAGTAGGTCTCGAATGTTATTGCCAATATATGATATACTGTCGAAATCGCTAGGAAGCGATTCAAAATTCCAGACGACATACACAGTCTCAGAGAGAATGTCACCTCGCATTCTATGTTCAGGGGAATGGTGATGAATCCTGTCGTGACGTCAGAGATTGCCAAACTTAGAAGCAGAAGTTTCCCGCCCTTTCTTAGCGTTTCCTTGGTAACAAACAGCACGATGACGAACATGTTTATAATGATGACCAAGACTGCAATTGCTATCAGCGCTGGGTGAAATTCCATGTCAAAGCCGTGAACGGTTTGGTTGGAATTCATTGTTGGTGTTTCGTTCTTGTACATAGTTTGTACGGACACCAAATTTAGTAATTCAGGATAGATATAAAAAAATTTAAATGAAGAAAAATTGGTTCTGTGAACTGTAGCTGGATGATTCTTTGTATAGCTGAAAAGATAAATTAAAGTTTTATAGCTCTATCAGTTCTAAACTGTTCTTCCTAGAGGTGAAGTAAGGATCATCTCTTATTGATCCAGTGTTACTACAGGAGGAAACCTAAACTAAACGAACTTTATTTATACTGGATAGCTCTATCAGTTCTAAACTGTTCTCCCTAGAAGTGCAGTAAGGATCATCTCCTATTGATCTAGTGTTACCACAGGGGGAAACCTAAACTAACTTTATTTATACTGGATAGCTCTATCAGTTCTAAACTGTTCTCCCTAGAGGTGCAGTAAGGATCATCTCTTATTGATCCAGTGTTACTACAGAAAGAAACCTAAACTAAAGAATTTTATTTATACTGGATTGCTCTATCAGTTCTAAACTGTTCTCCCTAGAGGTGCAGTAAGGATCATCTCTTTTTGATCCAGTGTTACTAAACAAAACTCAAAACTCGCATTATATCAATATATGTTAACTCTACATATGCTAATTAGGTTGGCAATATCAGCGTCTTCAAAAACAAATGCAAACTGTCAAAGTCATCTGTAATTTCCCACGCTGGACTAATTGAAACGTGCGTCCATAAAGTACCATCGTAAGATGTATATATCGCATGAAAATTAAGGGGGCAAATTTTAAAGAATTAGATTTCGAGCTAAAAAAGGTGTTCTTATGTTGGAAACCTATTTGCCCACCCCAATGGCAAATGCTTCGCAGAGTGTCCCTCACATAGATATCTTATATACATTATGGTCCCTCACCGATACGTGTGCATTACCGCCATACGAACAAAATAACCATAAGAAATTTTAGAAAGGCTTTGAGTCCCAGTATCTTCTTATACAAATATAACAATTTAATAAAAATTTGACAATCTGGAAGTTCTACTTTTGTGAGCAATCTCATTGTGATTCGCGTTGTCTCAAGCAAGGGAGACAGCCGCTATAGGAACTGAAATCCCTGCTGTTCGTTTCCATTAATTACAATTTTACAAATTTGATTTCACGCAAACTGAGTTTTTTTTACTTAAATGAAATTTGTTCCTCCAATCATCCGGTTTAGCTCAATATAGCTATATTGGTCTAATGGTCTTGCGATCAGAATATATGATTTTAGGAGCGCGCAGTCCTAATGGAACATTGAATATTAAAAAAAAACACACACGCGCAAGATTCTGTACTGCATTTAGATTTTGAGGCAAGATTTGTCACAAAGTCGAAAGTAAAATAATATAGATTATAGTCACATTTACTAAAGTAAAATAAAATTTAAGTAGCTTACAGTCTCGAGACACAATGATTAATTTAAAATTAACATATACTGCCAACTCACCGATATATATCGAATGTAAATCGATTGATATGGTTTGCAAACACTTTCTCCAATAATGGAAGAATATCGACGTTTTTTTACAAGCTTCTCTGAGTAAATGTCTGCCTTTTTAGTGCAGAGAATATTACAACGAATATATGCGTGCAGTTCAATGTTCACGACGCGTCGATGGCTTGCGCTCTACCAGAGCAACTGCGTCGCTTCCTGTATATATGTATACAAGAGAGCAGCTGGTTTTCTATAATATATAGACACGATTAAAAACTTGATTGTCATTCATAATTCGTAATACTGACTCCTTTAAGTCTATAAAGCACGATATAATAAATATCACAATCAATTAGTGCCAAATGCTAGGTAATTGCCTTTCTGCCTTTTCACAACACTTTAATTTGTACGTGTACAACTATATGCTTGAAAAATACAAGGAGAATTTTCAGATAGTTGTACTGATTCCTATCCGCAATCCGAAGCTTTTTTTATTATTGGCAGTACCACACAAGCTGGCACAGTCGACAGTTCAAGAATATATATGATTCCTCGATGATTGCAGCGTATCATGAATATATGTTTTACATATAGTAGTATATGCAACGCTTTTGGGGCTTAATTAAAGTTAATTATCGGTCTTATCGCGCAGAAAGTCTGGATTTTGCTGTCTCCAACCGGGGGCTATTATATTAGCGCCTGATTAAGTTTTTTAAATATATTTTTTTAAATTTCCGAAGTTGTTTCTAGTTTGCTGAAAACAAATTTTCTCGTTCTTTCTGGTTTAGTTTTCTTGCAAACACCTAACACAGTTATTGTGTTGCGATATCCATATTTAGTCGGTTAGTCTGCATATATGCACTGTTTACAATATATCTGCAAGCAATAACAATGCGATTAAAAGCTAACTATACATTAATTAAGCATGTACTGTAATATAGATGCTTACTTTAAAGGGGTCCATTTCCACTCAAGAAAAAATTTCACTCAAGATGAAAAATTTCCAGAAAAACATCATTGTTAAAAGTTGAAAATTTTCAACTTAAAAATTTTTTCCTACTGAAAATTTGTGGCGGCCAATGACATTTTACAAAATTTTCTTTCTGCAGAAAATTTTCCTAAGTGGAAAGGACTGATAAGGGATGTTTATATATGGTCCCGCTTACCCGGGATTCCGAGGAAGTGTGGAGTATGAAGTATGACTTATTTCAATTGAGCGATCTAACAAAATTGCTTGTTACAAATCAGATGACATTCCATGTTGATATATAGACACAAACAAATGTTGTTGAATGTGAATGCCATGCATTAATCGTCTTCTTCCACTACAACTTCTAGCGCGTACTTAATTTCGTTTGAACAATATTTAAAGTTATCTAACTTTTGTTTAGGGCTGAAAAACGTATTCCAATTGCTCAAAATACGTCACACTTCATTTAATCCTGGTAGCTAGCGGGACCATATAAACAGCAAATAAAACATCATGTCATATAGTGACCGGCAGAATGAAAAGCGACGTATGTTATTTTGGAAAATATGAAGAAGTATATTACTTAGATTTGATTTGGCTCAATAATTCGGACATGGGAAAAAATAATTTGAAACCTTCTTAATGCAATATAAATAAATGTTATGACATAGTTGCAATATATTTATAATTGGCTTTTGTCAAAGATAGGAGGAAAAGTCTAATTAATTGTTGCAGCAGAAAGGCGTCTAACGCTATCATTATACAAATTACCCTATGACTGATCTTAATATAGGATCTGGAACACTACAAATGTAATATAAGGATATAAATAATCTATTGGGAGAACAGTCCAAAACTGAAAAAGCTATCCAGGATATATAAATGAAGTTAGTTTACTTTATGTTTCCTCCTGCAGTAACACTGGATCAATAAGAGATGATCCTTACTGCGGACCTCTAGGAGAATATACTTGAGAATTAATAGAGCTATCCAGTATAAATAAAGTTAGTTTAGGTTATCAACTTTCCTTCTGTAGTAACATAGTATTAATAAGACATGACCCTTATTGAACCGAGTTAGAACTGATAGAGCAATCCAGTCTGAAGTCAATTCAGTTTAAGTTTCCTCCTGTGATACTATTGGACTAATAAGAGATAACCTTTTCTAACGACTAGGGAGCACATTTTGAACTGATAGGGCTATCAAGTATAAATGCATATGGGGAATTTATCATTTATCTAAGAATTGAACAAATTAATATCCTTTCCACAGAACTAAAAATAGAGTACGTACATGATAAACATCAAATCACCAAACATCACATTTTGTTTTTGGATTCATTTTGCTATTCCATGGACAATTAAACGTTTTTGAAAATTCGGGCATATTTGACAGTGCTCCGTTTACCCTAGAAAAACATGAAAGAAAATAGATGACATGGAAAAAAAACGCTTCCGTGTGTGTCGCCAGACAATGTCTGAAGCATGTTCATCTTTTTGTTTGCTTGTGAATACGGGAAAATATTGACACGTTTTTCTTGACTCAGCTAGGGCCTTTTTTAATAATCTGTGAGTGGCGGGGCCATCAAGAGAAAGGGACCCAACTAGGAGGTGGAACCGGGAAAAGTGGGAACTTGTCTGGCCCAGACAATTTGTATTTTTAGGTGTCTGCAGGGGCTTGATTTTCGGCTTTTTATAGACACAATTTTTTATATATTTCATCCGCTAGACAAAGATTTGGTCATGGGAATACTAAAATACTCTTCTTAACTAAGTTATTCTTCTCTTTTTTGCTTATATTTCAGACAGAAGTGACCTTCACTGGGGCAACATGGTTCACTGGGTGGGGGGAAACATGGCCTGTCTATGGCATTAAAAGAGGCCCTGTGTTGACTGATGTGCATATGTGACAAATATGGCTGTAAAAAATCTTCCTCGACCTTGACACGATTTGTGCGTTGGTGTGTATTTATAAACTGACACTGAAGGTTTTCATGACAAATATATGTGTTCGTACAATATATGCGCTGCAGTTACGTGATTAAAATTTCAAGTTGATCATGAATGCTTCTAGTATAGTTAACCTCAAAGTAGTAAGACTGAACCACTATATAGCATTTACTGTTAGTGGACCTCTATAGTAAGAACAGTTTGGAACTGATTGAGCTATATCCAGTAAGTAAAGTTAATTTAGGTTTCCTTCTGTAGTAACAGCGGTCAAATTAGTTTAGGAAAAACATTTTAGAACTTATACTCAGCACATAAAGAGAATTCATGGACTTAGTTACTGCTCTTGTGTCCGGAACATTGAGATTGCTTTATTCTTTAGAGCAAGCTTTGGAGAACTGACCTTCGTTCAATTTGACACGATCGTCCAAACATCTGCGACCTCATATCTGCGACCTTATTTACATATACCCTTACGAAAATTTGACATATATGAAAAAGCTTTTTCAAATGTGAACTGTTCCAATTCTACATATGACACAATAATTTCGCAAGTGAAATTAATCAGTTTCACATATTATAAATCACATGCATGTAAAATTTAAAGTTCAAATGTGAAAATTCTAAATTTTACTTCAAAAACTCATTAATAATTCACGAGGAAAACACAAAGAAAAATCATGATATAAGCTCGGTGTCGTATCTAATATATGTGATAGAGATTTCCCTTGATTTACATAAACTTTTACTTTGATTTTCTCGACTTACACAACGTATTTTTTGAAAATTACTTCGCCAATGAAAATTACTTCGATCGTTTCTGAAGTAATTTAAAACATTCGCAGTGCGTGTTTTATCAGACCTAAAGATACTCGGCTTCGCCTCGTATCTTTATATCTGAGAAAACACTGCTGATCATGTTTTAAATACATAGTACATATGAAATGAGCATTTTCACATGCGAAATGCTCCAATTCCACGTAAAATTACACGCGCGAAATTATATTTGAATTTTCCATATGACAGTGAAATAGTCTTAGGTTACCTGTACTTGGCAGGTGCATGATCGTCGTCATGCACGGCCATAAACTGCCCAACTGCAGAAGTATTCGCACAACTTTTCTATAAAAAAGAGAAAAATGATGAATTACATTAATAAGAAACTCAATACTAGATTCCCCTTATTACGTTTTCGTAGCGCTTTGCATTGTGGTTATAGTGGTATCACAGATATTCAAGATGGCTTATTTTTTGTCCTGACCCGTGCAAGAACTTTAAAAAAAGCTAGGGTCAGGTGCGCGATAGCCAACAGCAAAATATTCGCGAAAACATTCAATACTTTCATTCGAGGCCACTATCTTTATCAGTGATACCACTATAACCACAATGCAAAGCGCTACGAAAGCGGAATCTATATATAGTATTAAATGGTTTGGAGGTTGATGGCAGAATGGCTAGAACTGCCTCGTTCTTTGATAAACCCTATTTTATTTACTAAAGACACTTTTAATTCATGAACTAGATCACTTCGTCTTTCATCTCTGTGACTGCACCTCAATTCATGCAATATACAGTTGTCTGATTATAATTTCAAATCAGTCACATGTGAGAAGAATGCTTCCAGTTTGAGTCTATCAAACACTGCACAACCATTACAAAGGAATAGACTCGTATATACTACAGAATCATTGGTTGAGTTATTAAATCAGGAATTCTTCTTTACCTGTGCAAAACCGATGAAAAATAATTCATCACTGTTCATATCTAAATCTGGTAACACTTTCTCTTGTCCATGGTCGTTAATCCATCGTTTGTAAGCCTAAATAAGGTAATATATGCACTGCTGTATTGTCTTGTGTGGTATGGTATGGTATGGTATGGTATGATATGACATGAGATGGTATGGTATGATATGATATGATGTGGTATGGTATGGTATGGTATGGTATGGTATGGTATGGTATGGTATGATATGACATGAGATGGTATGGTATGATATGATATGATGTGGTATGGTATGGTATGGTATGGTATGGTATGGTATGGTATGGTATGGTATGGTATGGTATGGTATGGTAAGCTATTGTATGGCAAGGAATGAAATGGTATTATAGAAATGGTATAACATATCCAGTATGTATGTAGTATATTCACTTACATTGAAGGCTAACTTTAAACCTCCTGCATCGGCAATATTTTCTCCTAATGTCATTTTACCATTGACCTACAAAGGGAGAGATACATTGTCTGCATAAAACCACTAAACAATGACTGAGCCCAGAGCATCCAGTCGCAATCCAGTGATGTCTTTCCATTGTTTTGAAAATCCCACTGTTCTCCAGTGGCGTAACGTTATATCAAGGGGCCCCCGGTTCAAAATTTTCGAAGGCCCCCCTAGTAGAAGTGCCAAAGGCACGAGTCGAGCGCCGTATATGCACGAATTTTCTAGGGGGTCCAGGGCATGCTCATCCGGAAAATTTTTGAATTTAGACTCTCTGAAATGCCATTTCCTGGACTTTGGAGAGAGATTTTACAGAATTCTGATGGTCATAAAACTACATTGTAACATATCAGCGGCCCTGACCAATGTTTTTGCTCTATTGCCTAAGCCTGGGGGCCCCCATTTAGGTTGGGGCCCCCGGGTTCTCACGGTCTGAGCCCATAGTAGTTACGCCACTGCTGTTCTCCATGTCATCCAGTCAAGATCCAGTGATCAGAATGTTCCATTGTCTTTTCATTGTTTTGAAAATCCCACTGTTCTCCATGTCATCCAGTCATTCATTGTTTTGACCTATCTTATCATTGCAAAGGACCTACTACAAATCATTGACTAATTCTGCGACCTACGTGATGTTTTCCTAATACTTTGTAATCGCTGAACTGCTTCACCAAACACTTCGCTTCCTTTTTGAAATTTTTATCAGAAACGTTACTCCAACCCGTCTCATTGAATAGAACTTTTTTTCCAATCAAATTAAATGTTCTTCCTACAACATACGAAATTTTAAAATTATCACAAATATTTGAAAAAATGAACTAAATACCACAGAATATGTACCTGTATCATCAAATCCATGGGTCAATTCGTGTCCTAGCACATGACCAATTGCGCCGTAACTCAGAGCTCTGAAAAGAGATATAACTTAGATTTATCTCTGAAAAGAGATTGTACATTCATTTGGAATTAAAACAAGAAAATATTATCGTTACTTTGGAATTGATCCGGAGTAAAAGAACGGTTCTTGTAGGATACCAGCTGGAATGACTAGATATTAACGAAAGATAAAAATAAAATCAATGCTCAGAGCAGTAACAATTTATTCAAATCTTACTTTACCTACCAATTTCATTCTTCGTAAGAACATAGAAGGCGTTGACCATCTGCGGAGGGGCAATCCAGCTGTCAAGAGATATAACTTTGTTGAAAATTCACGCTAAATTTTATGCCAATAATGCAAGCAATTCTTACTCCAGAAGCGAATGACACAAACGCCAATCACTGTGATGTGAACACCACATTTGCATAAGATTATTTTATTTCGTAAAAAAATTTACTCACTGTTTTCTGTCAATGGTCTCGCCAACATGATGCAGTTCAATGAAATTTAAATATTTCTGAGAATTCACTACATTTTGGAACCATTGGTTAGGCTGAATGTCCAGCTAGAAAAAGGAAGGTCACATGATAAAATTACGAGAAAAAAACAAGGAGAGTTTATCAAACTGACAGTATCGCTTGGTTTTCACATAAATCTCTTTCTTACATTCTCATATTTCAGATTGAGATCCTCTTCGTTCCATAAGTAGTCAGGGTAACCAACTTTGGACAGTACGCTTTTCAGCTGCAACAACAAGTTAAAAGGTAAGCCTAATCTCATTTCATTTAATGTAAATTGCATTTAATGTACATTGCCATTCCATTTAATGTACATTGTACACCCCCCCCCCCCCGCCCCTATGGACGAGAATTTCTGAGGGGGTTTGAAAAAGCCATTTCTGAGGGGTTGTGTGCAACGGCACTTTGATTTTTGCGTTTTTTCTGAGGGGTAAGGGAAAAATTTCTTAATTTCGGGGGGGAGTGTGTTTGTGTCGACACTTTGATCTTTTTTCTTAGGGGTTCAAATTTTATTGACCTCGTCCATAGGGGGGGGGGGGATGTACATTAAATGGAATGGCCCTCTTTCATTGATGAGACACGCTATAGTTAGGAACGGCGTGGGGATTGTTAAACAATTACCTTAAGTTCGACAGCTGTTCTACTTTTACCACTCAGCCATGTTTCAGTTTGTGCATTATCTTTGAACGCCTCAATAATATCACTCATCATTTCTTTAACCTTGGGTAAATATAATAATAGTTCATGGTAGCAAGATATTCGGACGCAGTTGAGTAAATTTATTGTCTCGTCCATGGGGAATTATTTCACGACAGGGTCTGACATCACAATGGCCTGGCTGGAGTAAAATAACCAATCTTTATTGGTGCGGAGTTATACGAAGAAACTTAAACAAATCTAACTTTATCAATTCTAAACTGGTCTCTCTCTAGAGGTCCAGGTACTACTCACATCTGTCTTCACTTTGGCAGAGAAACGTTTCCTGATAAACAATGCTCCCAGTAAATTACTGAGTATTTTACTGGTATATGAATAACACGTTTCTGGGCGTGACTCTTCCTTGCCTTTCAGCTGAATGTACATTTTACGAAAGTTGTTGCCCAGCATTGGAACATAACTTTTGATCATTCTCCACACCATAAAGTTGGAAAGAACTCTAAGAATATAAAATGTAAAATTAACTAATTATGAAACACCTTTTCACTGGCATTCTGGGAAAGCAAACGCGCCGGTCATACGAGAATGAGAGTTGACCTCTCATCGACTTTCATCAATTCTCATTGACTTCTCAACTCTCATGCAACCCTTGTTCTCGTTTGACCGGGACATGAACTCTCTTTCAAACTCTCGCTTCTCAACTCTCATCAACTCTCATGCAACTCTTGTTCTCGTTTGACTGGGGCATGAATTAAGTCTCGCTTTCCAATTTTCATTCTCGCTTAACTAAGAAAGGTATATTAGGAGTTAGGACGCACTGATAAATAAAATATACAAACTTTTTATCAGTTTTCTTGAGTAATTTGAACAGCGTCGGTAGATATTTTGTCGCCAGAACTAAGATTGGATCTTCTCGCGTCAGTTTGTTGGGAGCAACAAGACTTTGAAGATGATCAAACCATGGAAACTATTTTCAAAAATAATATTTCATCAATATTGTGGTTCACGATGTTTGCCGTCATCGTCATCATTCGTAGTAAATATTTTTGGTTTACTAGTACAAGCTGCATATCTTGCACGGGTACAGCTACCCTAGGACATGCAGGAGTGATCAGTTCAGAGTTTGTCAGTTAACCGAGTCAAATCCGAGCCTGGTCTTTGTAGTTCAATGACTTAGTACCCTAATCCTAACATTAACCCTTAGTAACTCCTGACCCTACTCCTAACCCTACTCCTATACTACTTCTAACCCTACTCCTAACCCTACTCCTAACCTTACTCCTAACCCTACTCCTAACCATATTCCTATACTACTCCTAACCCTACTCCTAACCCTACTCCTAACCCTACTCCTAACCCTACTGCTATACTATTCCTAACCCTACTCCTAACCCTAGTCCTATACTACTCCTAACTTTACTCCTAACCCTACTCCTATACTACTCATATACTACTCCTAACCCTACTCCTAACCCTACTCCTAACCCTACTCCTAACCCTACTCCTAACTCTACTCCTAACCCTACTCCTAACGTACCCTAACCCTATTCGACTGTGAATTTTCTTAACGTGACTGGGGCGTTTGACTCGGACTTGGATTTGACTTGGTAAATGCATTCACTCGATCAGTTCACCATCCAATTCTTCACCCTCCTTTCACGTGGACTTACCTGGGGTAGGGATTCCTCCAGTTTTTTTATAGGTACACGAGCATAATGTTTTCCCATCTTACCAAAACTTAGCTAGAGGTATTAAAATACAGAGTGAATTCACGCACTGCAAAAAATCCGGGAAGCGGAGTGTTTTAATTAAGTCAGTAAGATATTGCACCCACCGCAGTGACTCAATTTACTTTACTAAAAAAAAGAGTAATTTGTGAAAAATCAACATATTTTACCATGGCAAGCGCAGCCTCAAATCTAATGACGTCTTTCATCGATTTTTTGGCATAACTCATGTTAACTCCAGTTAAACTGGTCACATTGCTCATGTAGTGAAACAACAGTCGAACTGTCTGAAAATGAAAAAACAAAATATCACTCATATGTTTGATTACACGTTTACTGTAAAATGATCTCTTCGTACATTTTGCTGCATGCACCATCGTCGCATGTTTTGCAAAACTAACAATTTTAACGTAACTTTAAAAAAACAACAGGGAAGCCATATTTGTTTGTTAAGTTCAAAACACTCTCATACCTTTGGACTGCCAAGGAAAAATATCGGATGAAGATCTAACGGCGCCTTATCTAACTAGAAAAATAGATGAAACCTTTCAGAAAATAATAAACTAATTTATATAAACTAATTTTATTTTTATTTACACTGGGTAACTCTATCAGTTCCGAACTATTTCCCTAGATGTCCAGTAAGGATCCTTTTTACTGATCCGGTGTTAGTACAGGAGGAAACCTAAACTAAAGTTACTTTATTTATACTGGATAGCTCTATCAGTTCTAAACTGTTCTTCCTAGAGGTCCAGTAAGAATCATCTCTTATTGATTCAGTGCATGAATGTTACTGTACAGGAGGGAACCTAAACTAACTTTATTTATACTGGGTAGCTCTATCAGTTCTATAAACAGTTCGTCCTAGAGGTCCATCCCTTACTGATCCAGTGTTAGTACAGGAACAAACCTAACCTAATCTAAACTAACTTTATTTATACTGGATAGCTCTATCAGTTCTAAACTGTTCTTCCTAGATGTCCAGTAAGGATCATCTCTTATTAATCCAGTGTTACTACAGGAGGAAACCTAAACTAAACTGACTTTATTTATACTGGATAACTCTATCAGTTCTAAAATGTTCTTCCTAGATGTCCAGTAAGGATCATCTCTTATTAATCCAGTGTTAGTACAGGAAGAAAAACGGAGTACCTGGTGTTTAGTGTAGAGTCATACTAGAAGTATTTTTTTCACATGCAATTAAAGTGGAAAATATAATGAGACAACAGCAAATTACAGGAATGTAATCGCTGCCACAGCGGTGAAAACCACACACACTAGTCGTTAATTAATCAACAGCATAGAAGACTAATTACCATCAATATATTCTTCCCTTCAGTGCCGTTCCTCAAAGGATCAGGAACGCTCTCCACGGAAAAGAACAAATTAGTAGACGTATATTTCTTTTGAATTTTCTTCAACGTCCTAAAAACATCCCACTTTCCCGATTCCCAGCCGGTCTTTTCATCAACCGCCCAAGAATCCAAATCTTTAATATACTTTCTGATAGGCTCGTTTCCAAGCTCGTCGATCGCCTCAACATTGAGGCAAGATTGGAAGAAAGTTCGAACTTTTTTTATAGGTAAAAGATCGTTTAAAGTATCATCACTGACCAAAGCTTCTTGCATAACTTCGTTATTTTTGTCCCTGAGTTCAGTAAAGGCTGAAATTTGAATTTTTCCTTTAGGTATCGGGTTGTTTTTCATCCACTCTCCACAAGCATAGTCGTAAAAGTCATCGCAGGGCTTCACCTCTTCATTTATCGCTGCTTTTATAGAAGCAGACACTGCCGTACACTCTTTTGTAACACAAATGTTATTATCCATGTTTTCTGCCGAGGTTTCATCGCGCGCCAAAATATTAGGATCAGAATTGATAGTACTTTCCTGGTAAACTACAGGCAGCGAGTTTGAAAATTGATAGACAATCGTTGAAAAAAGAAGTGTCGTTATAAAGGTGAATAAATGAGCCGCCATATTGTTTTGGACTACATGTATTTTGTTTAGGTTATATAGTTCATCGCTAATTGATTCCAACAGGTTGAACCATTGATCGCAGTATAAACCTGTTAGTTATATCGAGATATCAATGTTTGCGACACGATTCGTCGGAATGTTTAGAACTAACTTATAGTTCAGCAACTCTCTCCTCCTGGGAAAACTAGGAGACATTGTTGCGGAAACATTGTTTCCTACCAATGTTCCGCCATGTTTCCCAGAGTGGGCAAACACTAGAAAACATTAGTGAGAAACATAGGGAAACATCAAATGTTTCTGAATTTGCTAGGAAACATTTTTGCTTCCCGGGAAGCAAATTTCCGCAACAATGTTTCCACGGGTGGGCAAACAGGAAAACATTTGAGGAAACATCGAGAATCACAAATGTTTCCGCAACAATGTTTCCTAGTTTGCCCAGGGCTTTAGTTTTCTTAGGATTTATTATTACGATGAGATACATTTCACTACACTTTACATGGCGGATCTTGGAACGTGTAGTGATGCATGCAAAGTGTAGTGAAATGTATCTCATCGTAACATTAAATCCTAAGAAAACTAAATTAGCCTCTGCGGAGGAGAGAGGTTCAGCAATTTTTCTGATGCTACTCTGAGTGTGTATCTACACCGGGCAGGCTGAAAAGTTTAAGCCTGACCACGGTGGGAATTGAACCAGCGACTTTTGCGATACTGCATGTTAGGTTCGATTCCCACCGTGGTCAGGTAAACTTTTCAGCCTGCCCGGTGTGGATGCACACTCAGAGTAACACCACAAACATTATATTCACCTCTGAGTACATAACATCAAACACACACATAAAGAATATCATAGCTTAGTTCAGATTTGGAAAAAGTGGTTGACACTATCAAAGTTTCTGTGATCACAGTAGGAATTTTGCAAAGGTAAATCCTAAGTTTTGAAGGATTTGTAAGAAATGTTTGAGACTTTGAGTGAACTGACTCACTGTTTTAACACTGAGTGAGTTTCCTCAAACATTTCTTACAAATCATTCAAAACTTAGAATTTACCTTTGCAAAATTCCTACTGTGATCACAGAAACTTTGATAGTGTAAACCAGGCTTAACGTTCCTTGGATCCTGAATTTTCCTTTTTCAAATGCAGACAAGATGATTAACGAAGTATGATATGATGATTCGTTAAGATTCTCCCATAGCTAACACCCTGGATTTCACCCAAATTACTATTGTAAAGTTAGGGACGGACCATTAGAAAAGTGATGGGGGGGGGGGTCCATTTCCAACCTGTACGATAATTTTTTCAAACATTTTAGCTTGTGTCAATTTTTTTTTTACTAATCCCTTGCTCGAATTTTATTTTTTTTCCAAAAATTGTTGGCGACAAATTCTTCCTTGACAAATCCTTCCCTGACAAATTCCCTGACACATTCTTCTTAAAACATGCTTAAAACGCGTTTTTTGCAACATTTAGGTTTAGAAAACTTTTTCTCACACCATTACTGATATCAAAAAAACGTTTTATTTTCCAAAAATTTGGGGGCCACACTTACACAACTTATAATTTTCCCTATTGAAAAGTCTCTGCACAAATTTTTTTTTTAAACTTTTTTCTGTTTCCCCTGCTCGATTTTTATTTTTGCTTTTGCCCCCCCCCATCACTTTTCTAATGATCCGCCCCTTATGCGACTAGTAGCAACTTTGAATAACAAAGAATGTGGTCAATTTGAAATTTTATTCATGTTGATCAGTTGTTAATTCATTTGATCTATTGTACATCTACATTCTACATAGATTAAAATGTACTTCGTGACTTATCCTGGCGGCCAGCCCAGTTGTCGTTTTCCAAGCACATGTACATGAAGATGGTACACTGACTGACCGCCGTCAACACCATCGTTGATCACAATACGATAACCTTTCTCACAACCCTGAGCTGCAGCGACCTTCTTGGCTACCAATAGAAGATGACCAAGAAGCTAAATGTAAATAAATGATTACTCAATGTCACTTTATTATTTTACTCTGTCTAATGCCAGACAATTTTGCTAGTCAAGGGGAGATGTTTAAGGGAAAGAACACAGCAAAAACTTTGTCATTCATGTTACTCATAAACAAATATTACCCATTAAGTACATTGCAATGCACCACAATGTGGCCCACTTTTACTCTGCCTAACGCTGCCATATGGGGGGGTTTTCAGATCGTCGGATTTCACAGAAAAAATTGACCGGATTTCGGATCTGGCGAATGTTTTACACGGATTTTGGATCTTATTAATACAGCAGATTGCGGATTTATCTAATATTTTGGCTCTGATCGCGGATTTTGCTTCAAATCGGCGGATTTGTATACCCCTATTCACCCCCCCATATGATTTTACTCATCAAGGGAAGAGTGCTGTCGACCACTGCAATTATAAATACATCAAAAACAGATTATGTTACCTGTTCATCAGAGTCATCTGCCCCAGAAAGACCAACAATCGGTTTCTTAGGAATAACCAAGAGGTGTACTGGAGCTTGTGCACTAATGTCCTTGATCACAATACACTAAAATATAGCATCATTCATTAATCATCAACACTTTACCTTGATGGGGAAAAATGTCTGTATTTAGGGGGAGGCCGAGTGTAACCTGCAAAGGTTTTGGTCACTTCAAAGGGTGAGGCTAAGCAAAGTTCATGGTATATTTTTTTGTGGAAACACCACATTTACAGGGACAGCAGAGCAGGAGGGTCGCCCCCCCCTCTCCACTTTTTTGGAGGCTAAAAAAAATACGAAGTGACTATATGACCGGCAGCTGGTCACGGTTTATCAAATACTAAATGGCCGGCAGTCTAGTGACTATTGTTAAAGTTGAATTTTCATAAGATAAACCTATCCCCAACCCCAAACCCTTTTCTAACCCTAACCCCTAAGTCCTAACCCTAACCTTTTGAGAGTTAGAAAAGTCAGGAAAAAAAAGTTTAAAAATTTTTAAGAAAAAACAATGCTAAGTCAAACAAAACACATCCCGACCCCGACTGCGTTTAACTTTTCGCACGCAGCGCCCTTGCCGTACGAGCTAACAGCAAGCTCTGTAAAAGTTAACGCAAACAAAAGTTTTTATATTCAACTATAGTCACTAGACTGCTGGCCATTTAGTATTTGATAAACTGTGTATTTGATAAACGGCTGCCGGTCATATAGTCACTTTGAAAAAAATACTGTGTGGCATAGCTCCTGTGCTCCTGCTCCCACTCTGGAACAGGCTTCGCCGTCCCTGTTTTATTCATTTGGCAAAACTTTCTGTCTGTAATATTAAATATATATATACAAAACAATGAAAACATTCAGTTCCGTTTACATAAATATCCCAAACAAACTTTCCGATTGACACTATCAGCTCTTCTTAACAATCTGCACACATTTTCCAATCATAACATTAATTGCATATCAAACCTGATCGTCCTCATGTAGAAATTCTGATGGAATTTCTTTGCGAATAATCTTGCCAAAAATCGTGTCTCCCGAATTCGCCGCCATCTTAGGATCTTCCACCCGATTTGCTGCTAGCCGCAGCAAAAAATGGCGACGATTGTTCGATCGCACAAACACTCCAGTTATACATAGCAGTCATACATCACTCCAGTTGTAATATAGCAGTCATAAATCACTCCAGTTATATAGAAGCAATATATAGAAGTCATCAGTGACTCGCTTAGCCAATCAGCTACGAGGATTAAGTTCCCGCCAAACGAGCTTTGTTCGAAGAAAATTTTTGTTTTTTATCAGAATTCTCCTTCACGGTGAAAAGCCGGGTTTTGTCCATTGAAAAAGAAAAAAAATACGACTTTCAAGACAAGATAATAGATTGCAAAAGTCCTTGCATTGATGCTAAAGGTATAATATGTGTATAATTTGTGTTAAAGGTTGGTTGAAATCACAATTTGACACCACAATATTGACACCTATCACATCACAATTTGAGTCTTAGGAAAATCATGTCTCCGAAAGAGGATTTAAACTGTTTCAAACTTTTTGCTAAAGCTTGTTTTATTCAAAATATTCTTAACCATACCAGTGGAAGTTTTTCACAATTTCTACAATTATATATCCAAATTAATAAATATTGCGACTTCCTTCGAGAAAAGAACACATTCACTTCAGCTAAGGGGCGGACCATTAGAAATCCCGGGAGGGGGGGGTGAAAATTCCCCCAAAAAAATTCGTGCAAAGGAAAATGCCTGGAAAAAAATTCGTGCAGCCATTACGTCGGAGAAAAAAAATTCGTGCAAGCAAACAGCGAAGTACAAATAGTCTTGAAAAAAAATTCGTGCACAGGTTAAATGCATTAAAAAAATTCCTGCAGAGGCACGAGACTGAAAAAAAAATTCGTGCCGCAAACATTTTATACCCCCCCCCCCTCCCGGGATTTCTAATGGTCCGCCCCTAATAAAGAATTTATTAATTCAATCTAAATATCATATATTTCCCAATATATTTACATTGAACACTCTGACAATTTTACGGTCAGTTGTTTTCACTACCTAATATAAATTTACAGTACATACCGCAAAACATACTCTGTAATACCACTGAGCTACAAAGCTCAGTGGTATTTTCTCAAAAGGCCGGATAGGGATTTTTTCAACCGTTGTAAAATACTTGAAAAGCTGTAAAACTACGAATATCGGAGGTAAGGAGGAGTAGAGGCCCATTTGCAAAATTTCCATGGACAGAAAATTTCCCGAAAATATCATTGTTAAAACATCACAAACATCATATCATTGTTAAAAGTTGAAAATTTTCAAAATATTTTTCCGACGGAAAATTTGTGTCGGCCAATCACATTTTACAAAATGTTCTTTCTGCAGAAAATTTTCCTGAGTGGAATGGGCCTTAACTTTTAATCTGGGTTTAACCTGCGATTTATAGGCCCTCGAAAATTGGAAAAGTTCATTTCCCGGTTATCTTTTCACGTCACGTAATCACGAAACCTAGTCCAATTCCTAAACCTAAACGCCTAACCAATCATATTTCGTGGCTGCGTGACACGAAAATGTAACCCATTTCGCCCAAGAACGCCTCATCGCAGGTTATTCTGATCAACAGATAAGTTGAAAAAATCACTATCCGATTTTCGTACAACCGCCCCCCCCCCCGTACTGTAAAAATTAAACTATAAAACATGTTGATCTAAGGTACGAAGCAGCGGGGAGGGGGTGAACAACCTATTTTGGTACACTTCACTCGCGATCTTCATTATTTAGAACTATTGTATTTAACCACATAACTCCTTTATTGAGCCCCGGGGGGAATGCGAGGGGGGTTATTGAAGAGATCCAGGATAGAGGAAGGGGGTGGGGTTAACATTTCTTTCTCCAAAAGAGGGTAAGTTATTCGAGAGAGGCTTAATAGAGGACTTACTGTACGTGATATTTGAACTTGCTAGCCAGCGCATGTTAAAATATCTAATGCTTTATTACTGTCACATTCGGATTTTTTCAATGCCTCGAATATTTTTTCCTCTTGAAAACCAAGTTCTTTAAATTGTACTATGAGCTTTAAGAACTCCACAGCCTGTTGAGAAAAAAGACATGCATGTTATTTAAATGATTTTGGGGATTACAGGGTTAACTAGAGGCCTCTATTAAAAACCGAGATCTCTATAACCAAGGCTAAGTACTTTCGGGAAGGGTGTATGATCTATATACCTTAGTTTGATCATTGTTGTCTTTTAACACCATTTCAACTTGTCCTTCGGAGTATCCCAGGTTACACATATCATTCACTGATATAAGAAACTCGATCACCTTGAATGAGAAATCATAATTCGGTTATCATTGTATAAATTTAATTTCTGTATACTGTAAAATTTCCGAATAACCACGCACGTTTGCCTTTCAACCTGGGAGACCCGGGTTCAATCCTCGGTTGGACCTCTACTCAAGGTCTTAAAATAATTGAGGAGAAAGAGCTACCTTTACATTGACATCAGTAAATGGTTAGACTTTCGCGTCTTCTCCGACAAGGATGTTAAAATCGTAGGTACCATGCACAGATCACCACACAGAAAAAGAATAATTAAATTTCCATCAATGGGTTTTGAATAGTTTTAAACATTTACCATGTATACTATCAATGTAAAGATTTACCATGTGTACTACTGTATACTACTTTACCATGTATACTACTTTACCATGTATACTTCTTTACCATGTATACTACTTTACCATGTATACTACTTTACCATGTATACTACTTTACCATGTATACTACTTTACCATGTATACTTCTTTACCATGTATACTTCTTTACCATGTATACTACTTTACCATGTATAATACTTTACCATGTATACTACTTTACCATGTATACTACTTTACCATGTATACTACTTTACCATGTATACTACTTTACCATGTATACTACTTTACCATGTATACTTCTTTACCATGTATACTACTTTACCATGTATACTTCTTTACCATGTATACTTCTTTACCATGTATACTACTTTACCATGTATACTACTTTACCATGTATACTACTTTACCATGTATACTACTTTACCATGTATACTTCTTTACCATGTATACTACTTTACCATGTATACTACTTTACCATGTATACTTCTTTACCATGTATACTACTTTACCATGTATACTACATTACCATGTATACTTCTTTACCATGTATACTACATTACCATGTATACTTCTTTACCATGTATACTACTTTACCATGTATACTACTTTACCATGTATACTACATTACCATGTATACTTCTTTACCATGTATACTACATTACCATGTATACTTCTTTACCATGTATACTACTTTACCATGTATACTACTTTACAATGTATACTTCTTTACCATGTATACTACTTTTTATCCTTCCGCCCCCCAAAATGCAGGACTAGGACTTTCCAGCGATCGTATATTACCCGCCTCACGAGAGTATGGAATTGCCTTCCAACAGACTTAAGACAACCAAATTTAAGTTTAAGTACATTTAAAAGTTTATTACGACAATATTATTCGAAAGCCCTGCTCAGTTGTTTTGATGCAGAGGACCCAAGAACATGGAGATCTATATGTTTAAATTGTAACTCTTGTCGAAGTTTGACCAATGTTATCAACTGTTGTTTTTAGATATCTGTATGTAACCTATATGTTAAAAGGGCCCGCAGTAATTGGTTTTAACTGTTGTGGTGTCCCCGCCATTCGTCACTTGTATAATTTTGTATTTGTATTGTATGCATGTCACTAGTGTAATTTTACCTGGCGAAGTTAAATAAATAAATAAATAAAGATTTGTATTATGAGTGGAAAAATGCACCACATTTGAAATGAAAGTGGTTCATTTTCCCGTACGTAATACAAATGAATACAAAATTTGCAAATTTCGCAGGACTATATTTTCCTTATTTTTTACAACATATCGCAACCAAACTTTGCAATTTTACTAATTTTAACATGCTCTTTCTAGCTGTGGTGATGGATTTTGTTCTTCTTGCCGAGATCAAAATTTAGTCTATACCTGGAATCGTCCATTGGGCAAATAGACTGTTGGGAAATCCGATCACCAATGAGTAAGAACTCAATAAACAAAACGTAAAATACCTCACGTTCCTTGCATCCCAAATTCTTCACAGCTCTTGCGACTCTCGCAACAGGAAAACCCATGGCAGATATTTGATTGACGAACTGTCTTTCCTCAGCGGACATTGTGGAACAAGGATCATTGACATGTGGGGGCTGTTCTGGCTTTGGGGGTGAAATGGGTGGAAGAGGGGTAGGAAAGCGTTTTAAGTTTGCATCATCCTAAAAATTGAACAATTATGTTGCAATATTATGTATACCAGTTGACAATGGACAAACTAAACTAAAAGGCAAAGTGTGATTCGCCATACTTACTGTTGAAACATCAGGTTTTTGTGCATGGTTCATATTTCTATTTTTCCCTATTGACTTTTTTGGTGGTATGGGAGGAGGGGGAACATCGTACAAGGGTTCATAAGAGGGGCCAGCCTCTGGTCCATTTCTCAATGGGGGTAGTTTACTACGAGGTTTGGGGACAGGGCGTTTTTGTGCAGGAGTTGTCGACGGGTGTTCTCCCTGACTTGGGAGAGCAGACATCATTTCTGATGTCACACCCTGATTAGGTACACTTACGGGTCGTCTTGGCGGAGGTCGAGCCGGCGCAGCAGGTAACACCCTCATGGCACCAGGAAGGGAAATTCTTCTATTAGTATCTGATACAGTATTCCCTGAGGAGTACGAGACAGTGTTCGAGTGAGGTGATACTGATACAAGCCCAGTGCTAATTGGTTCCTGACCAGCTGTCTGTGAATTATGTGGCAAAAATGGGTTTGAATATTGAGGTACAGTTTGTCCCATTTGAGTTGTGGGATATAGATTAGCCGCACTCATCGGTGCTGGTGGTGAACCACTTATTGGGAAATTTGTCTCTAAACTACGGGATGGCACATGTGCGGCAAATGGATTTGGCGCTCCCATTATAGGTATCCCCGATGTCATCACAGGAACATTGCTAGCATCATTTGTCGCATGAGGAATTTGTGGTTGACTGCTTGTTGCAGAATCGGTTTCCACATCCGGCTGTAAAACACTTTTCAAAGCCTCCATATTGTTTATACATTGTAATTCGACTGCTTCAAATGGTGTATCTGTATTATCTTCAAAGTCTTTGTAATTAAATTGTTTGTTTTCATTTGTTGTGTTCAGAGCGTTTGTTGTTGTCGTTGTATTTGTTGCTGTTGTGGGTTGCAAGATGTCGCCACCCATGTTCGCAACAGCAGGATTGGCTGTGGAAGTTATGATTTTTAGTTCTTTGATTTTTTGAGCCTGTTCATGTTGTTCTCTCGCTTCTCTCTCAGCTTTTATTCGTTCAATAACACTTTTTTCCAAAGAAAAATTATACTAAATAAAATTAGAGATAAAATTAAGGTATATCAGGGCTTTAAATAGCGTTCTCAAAGTCCCCGATCATGGTGATCAGCAGTAATGACTGTCCCTGCTTTTTCAGGTTGGAAACCCTGCTTCCGATCATAAGCAATTTCTTGCCGATCATTGATTGGCTGTCATTTCAAGCCCTGTTATATAGTCTTGAACAGTCTTTGTCAGTGTAGGTAATGCCAATATTAGGGAGTTCAGGCCTTAAAATATCGGTCGGTCACGGACATTGTCCGACCCATTCGTGAAATTGTCCGACGTAGAGAGGAAACCACCGGACATTCTGTCCGACCTAAGTGAAACTGAGGTTTATCGTTTGTCCGACCCGAGTGTATTGGTGTCCAACCGATTACGGTAGCTTTGTCCAACGTAAATCAAAGTTAAATGGAAAATCAGAGTGATGTATAAAAAGTGAACTGGAAATGTTGTTTTAATTTAATGCAATTGAGGGTGGGGTGACGAGCGAAATGGTGAAGTGGAAAACGGGCTTATTGCTTAAGGTGACGAAGTCTTACTCCTGTTTTTGGCAAGCAAGTTAATTTAGCTTGGAAATAATTCAGAATTAATACATTGTGCTGATATTAACTCCTGTCATTTTGACTTATTTCAGAGCAAAACTAAACTGAAGGTCATCGGACATCATCATACGCATGTCCTACCCAAACTCAAAGTCATCGGACATTTTGTCAGACGACCCTGTAAACGATATTTTAAGGCCTGGGAGTTTAAGATGTTGACAATGAACTACCAACTATGTTTGAAAAAGTTTTTGTTGTATGTATGCAAATACTAAATGCTTGTCATAACAAATTTATCTCAAATATGTTTTATGTGCATGGCTTTGTGTTCAGCAAGTTTCATCTTTTTAATTTTCATCATTTCTTTATAAAAATACTCTCCAACCTGCAATGTTGCGTAGTCAGTTTCGGTGCTATGTTCTTGATTCCGTTTTATAACACAAGAATGTGATTTTTACGCTGTAGCCAAGGTCACTACGGTGAAAAGTATGCTCTGGGGATAAGTAAATTTTGTCTGCCTTTGTTAAAGCAATGCGAAAACAAGCCTTCAACCCTACTCCGTACCCATTGTTCATTGTCAGGATCTTAAACTCCCTAATACAAGCTACTTCCCAACAAAGGGCCTTGGTTCAAAATGTCAAAGTTCTCTTTTATTTTACAAGACCTTTTACTTACTGAAATACTAAGCAGCCTCGAGGGATCTCTGGTTTTCCATCCAACTGGTAAAGTTACCTAGAATAATAAAAGATTTTCATATTATATAGCACTGATTCTGAAACGTCCCTCACATCAACATACAGATATTGCCAGGTATGTTTTCACAATGGAAATTTTTTGTCCAATATATGGGGATATTTGGTATATTGTTAATGGATATTTCAATTTTGAAAAGTGAAAACACTGCCGACTTTTCCAGACCTCTCAACTTTGCAGAGAAGTTAAGAGTGAGATTGGGGATGTGGATAACACCTTTGTAAAAGTCCGGGGGTCTGAAACCACATTTTGTGCATTATAAGATGCGACTGATACAGTAATGAGCTTTAATTTGCCTTTGATAATTTACATATTGAATTTTGCTCCGACTGATTCTGTCTTTTTTCGGCTGTATTTACATATGCGTACTATTTTGTATCCAAATTGCAGGCAAAATGTCGGGCTGTATATGCAGGAACAATAACACGCGATTATATATTCGATTCGCGATCCGTATAATGATTATAATAATGTGCATTTAAGAATACAATATTATATTATTGAAAAAATACTATGAAACTGCTATATGCGTGAGATTTACTAAACGTGGCGTGAGAGTGAAGCGAATTGCGTGAGACTCACGCCGAATGTGTGAGAGTTGAGAGGTCTGCTTTTCACAGTTGTTTTTGTTGGCATTGTTACAGTATGTTTCATTTTTGGCCGCAGAAATTGTTATAACAAGATACGGTTGGGTGTCGGGTTGGTTGGGAAACCAGAACCAAACAATATTTTTTAGACCTTATTTTCTGATTATCAATCCAATTTACAAACCTTTGCTGGGGGTTTAAACTTTTCTCCGATTTTTAATTGCACGCCACGCAAGGCGGATGAACTGCCATAAACTATAAAAAAAATCAGAAAAATGTTACTGCCCTGTTTTATATGCAAGAAAAATGAATTTGGGAAAAAATTATACAGTCACAATTGAATAGTCACAATTATGCTTCTATTAATTTAATTTATTTTACGATCATCCAGATTAAAAGAACGCAACGTTTTGATATTCTTATGCTTATGTTGTATTGAGGACAGTACATAAGAAATCAACATGTTTGATTCCTTTTGTGCTTATACTTGCATTGCAGTGAGGAGAAGGCTTTACATAGGCCAAAGTAGGAATCATATACGATTAATCGTATTACATAGACAGACCTCTAGACAAACTATTTTGAAAACATCCGACATGATTTGTTCCCAGAATCATTGTGGGTTTAAATTGTGTTATTTTGGACAGCTCATCTGCTGTCTAGATTAAGGCAGGTGGTGACCAAATGTATCAACATACATCAACAAAAGTTAGTAATGAGTACCTCACTGACTACCTTATGGTAATGTCAATAATTAAACTTGGCATCCAATGTCATAATCTCTTAATAAAACCCTAACATAACATTCACCCTAACCTCTGCAACGAATGCCTGTGAGTTTGTCAAAACGGTATAAATCAGGACATTATTTATAAATAAATAATTATATCTTCTCTAACTTTCTATTTTACTCATATAAACATAAAACATTTTATGACAGACAACCCAAAATCATGCAAAAATATATCCAATCTCATACACAAAACCAAGAGTAATATATAATACAAATATGCTTGACGTTACATCAGTATTATGTCTCTAAAAACGTTTGTTGAAGCTTTTAATAGGGTTGGCCTTTAGACTATAAACTGAGGACAAAAATCATTGATTTAAATGTCTGTAATATAAGTATCTATAAAAACTTACTGCTACTTGCTCGCTCCATAATTTTTCTGGTGGACTTAAAACAAGTGTTCCTTTGTCACATTCTCGTTTAAAATAAGCAAAATATCGACAATTTTATGAAACATTCACTATAAATATAAAAGAGCTTTTTCGACATTTGGTTTTGTTCAATGATGTAATTTTCCCTTCGGCTCTCACCGGTCATGTTATCGACTCATTGTCGAGTCATGCTCGGTGAACAATCGCCCACTGAGATATGGTAATTCCACGCGACGTTGACTACAGGGTAATAAACAAACCAGTTTCGGGGGTTTCATTTTCATGTTACGCAGTCACGACATACGATTGGTTAGCAATAAGCCCGATTCTCATATGTCGCCGACGTCGGCGATGCCCATTGTCGTTGATCATTGATGAGTAAAATCTTTTGCCTATGTTCTTCTTCACTGATCTCAAACAATGGCATCGCCGACGTCACCACGTCAGAGAATTATGAGAATCAGGCTATAGGATACGGTTAGGGATTGGATTAGGTTTCGTGAATGCGTGACATGAAAAGATTTTTGGATTATCCTTTCCAGTTGTGACGACATCACGAAACCTAATCCAATCCCAAACCATAACCTCCTAACCACTTATATTTCGTGACTGCGTCACATGAAAATGTAAAATCCACATGGTAGATCGAAATGGGGTAACCATTATAACCACAAACTACCTGGACTATAAGGTAGACCGAAATAAGGTGTCCATAATTTTACCCACGGCAGTCTGTGGCTAAAAAGTGTACCAGACTTCAGTATACTTTTTAGCCACGGCAGTCTGTGGCTAATGAGTGTACCAGATTTCAGTATACTTTTTAGCCACGGCAGTCTGTGGCTAAAAACTGTACGAGATTTCAGTATACTTTTTAGCCACGGCAGTCTGTGGCCAAAAAGTTTATCAGATTTCAGTATACTTTTTAGCCACGGCAGTCTGTGCCTAAAAAGTGTACCAGATTTCAGTATACTTTTTAGCCACGGCAGTCTGTGACTAAAAACTGTACGAGATTTCAGTATACTTTTTAGCCACGGCAGTCTGTGGCCAAAAAGTTTATCAGATTTCAGTATACTTTTTAGCCACGGCAGTCTGTGCCTAAAAAGTGTACCAGATTTCAGTATACTTTTTAGCCACGGCAGTCTGTGGCTAAAAAGTGTACCAGATTTCAGTATACTTTTTAGCCACGGCAGTCTGTGGCTAAAAAGTGTACCAGATTTCAATATACTTTTTAGCCACGGCAGTCTGTGGCTAAAAAGTGTACCAGATTTCAGTATACTTTTTAGCCACGGCAGTCTGTGGCTAAAAAGTGTACCAGATTTCAGTATACTTTTTAGCCACGGCAGTCTGTGGCTAAAAAGTGTACCAGATTTCAGTATACTCTTTTGCCACGGCAGTCTGTGGCTAAAAAGTGCACCAGATTTCAGTATTCTTTTTAGCCACGGCAGTTCGGTGATCGAACCGGTGATACGGTCATTCCGGTGTTATACAAGACGAGCGCTGTAAGACGCTGTAGTTTGGCCAATACAAATCTGTGAAATCAGCATATTTGTGCGCATGGGCAAAGCTAAGTAATAACTGATTGCTACGGCAACAACGCCATGTTGAAAATTGTTGTCCATTAATATATTCGCAGAATTTGGTTAAATATTTGTCGTTTGTCGTGCATTTTTGGTGAAAATGTAGTTGAGAAGATGGAGAGACCGCTCTATGAGCTTGATTGCGAATTGCTTTCGCCTGTAAGTATTTCCGGTGACAGAAATTAGGTAAAACTATACTTCAGTTTGCTGGCTAGTTTCCAAATGATGGCGACTCCACTGTATTCTGTTCATATAGTGGAAAGGAAAATTTCAAGAATTATTTATTTTGAAATTGGCATGCCTTCTGCACTCTGCAGCTAGAGTTCTGAGGTTGGTTGTGTAAAAAGGTAGTTAACCCGTTGAGCTGCAGCATTCTCCCCTCAATGACGAGAAGAATCATCTGAAGTTAGACAGAGTAAAGTTGGGTGCGCATCGAAGTGCAATGCTGCTTAATGGGTTAACAAGAAGTGTTGTCAGATTGTTTGATCGATCCATTTAGTGACAGTGCTCTCATCTGGACGAGTAAAATTGTCTGGTGTTAGACAGAGTAAAACAAAGCAGGGCACATTGGGCATTTGGGGCTCAATGCAACTTATGCACCTATCAATGTTAAGCCCCAGAGGGGGGGGGGGGTGGTCGGGCATAGGTGGGGCATTTGATTTTTTGAGCAAATTTTCAATCAAATGCCCCACCGTTGGGCAATAAATATTGGTCAAATACCCCACCATTTTGCAATAAATTGCAATAAATACTATATTAATAATAAAAGTCATTCGGTTCAAATCGCCCCAACTCAGGGCCAAAATGTTAATCAAAATCCCCAGGGTGGGGATGCAGTTGATGATCAAATACCCCACATATGCCCGACCCCTCTGGGGGTTAACATTGATAGGTGCATTAGTTGAGGCAAATTTGTAGTAATACAATTGTTTACTTTATATTTAGACTGCATTTCATGCCAAGTATTCTCAACTGACTGCTCCAACAAGTCTCTTTCAAAGATTAGGACAAAGAGGTTTGTCAAAATACATGACAATTAATATGCATAAGCACTTTTCAAGCACATGATGTATTATGCATCTAAATGAGTCATTGGCACAGTCGGGCCAACCTGACTTGATCTGCAAGGTATAGTGATTGTGCTTTTGACTTTTTAGAATTTAAAACTGTTGCTGAAAATGTGGAAACAGAAAAGAGGGAGCGACCACTTACTCCTGTTGAAGTAAGTACACAATACACATGCACTAGTCGTCAATGCATGGGTCATTTCAGACAGGATCCACTCTCCCCATACAGGGGTGAAAGGGGAGGGTGAAAATTGACTGGAAGGGAAGGGTGAAAACTGACTTCTAGTACCTTAACAGTATAAGTTATGGGGTGGAAATGGAATGACCCATTGCAGTGTAGAGAGCTTTTGAAAGCAAGTAATGTTCTTGATTTACAAACGCTGAGTGGAAGTTAATTGAGCCATTATGGCTATTCTTTTTCGAAAATACGAGCTTAAAACTTCAAATTTGGCTGCCGTTCTTGATTTCAAGCACAAGCTGCTGATGGCATCAACCCTTGAGCCAAATGTTGCTTTTAAGCTCTCTAATCCAGCATCTAATACTTACAATCACTTTGCTTCTCAACACCTAAAAGTCTTGTAAAAGATTTCCAGTCTGTTCTAAAATCAAACATTTTGTTTATTTAGGAAGCCATCAGGGAGCCAGTCAAGTCATTTAACCAGCTGTCTCACATTTTACGAAAACGGATAAAAGCAAAATCTCATCCTGTTCCTGGTCTGACAGCCAATCAGCAGCAAGCGCTGGTAACTGTTACATTCAGAAATTTCCATTTCCAGTTTCTTGCAATCACAAGTCAGACATTACCGAGTCTAATGTTAACCAAGGGCAGATTTTCATTTATTTAAAAGGAGGGGTTTAAAAATTTCTGGTCTGGTGCAAGCGGCACCTGACTCAGTGAGCTTCGGCAGGGGCTAGGCGTTTGGGTTAAAGCCTTTCACACAAAATAGGAGGGATGAAGCGAAATTTTGGTGGGGTTGAACACTTTATTAGAGGGGTTAGAGAGTTTCTAGTAGGGGGATTTAACCCCTCCCCCCCCTAACCCCCGCCCAGTAAATCTGCACATGATGTTAACACACTTTTGTATGTATTGCAGATGGGTGTGGTTGTTTCAGAACTAGGCAGTTCTTGGTCCGAAGTGAAACGTTTGGCCCCGGATCCATTTCTGGTGAGTATTTCTATCATATTGTCTTAAACCCATTCAGCACTGAGTGTTCTCCCCTTGACAAGTAAAATTGTCTGGTGTTAGACAGAGTAAAATAACAAAGTAGAGCATATTAGGTGTAACTCAAAGGGTTACTGTAATGCCTGAATTGACTTCATTTTTAGAGCACAGAACAGAATCAAGAAGTTGAAAGGTAATAATGATTGAATTGTGTTCACTTGACATAAAATTAAAACAGTTTAATTTATAGATCAATACCGTAATTATAATAATTAACAATGAATAATAATTATTATTTATAATAAGACACAATGACCACAATTTGAACATAAATTATATTTGTTGAACAGGTTTTTAGCTATCGAGCTCATCAACATTGCTGAAGATATATACTTTAATACAATAGATAGGGCGAAAGGTATGGACAATTTAAGTGTGAGTCTTCTTTTGTGATTCATTTGTGATTTTGTGGGATTTCTGTACAGTCAAATGTTTTTCTAGGGAGTTATACATGTGGAAAAGTTAAATCCATTTAGACGTGTTAAGTAATTGTGAATTGAGGTGTATAACATGTGTTTTAGAACTACATGATCGAGGTGTGTTTACAACATACGCAAACAACAGTCGGTTAAAGGCCCAAATGGCATTGGAGGCCAACCAAAGGTAAAGTTATGCAGTGGTATTATATATTACCCTATTTTAGGTGATTGACCATGCCAGTAGGAATCATACCTATGACTTTAATGGTTTCCTAACTAGTTGAATGCTCAATCAAATGAGCTACAGTTTACAAGGTCAAGTAATAGTGATTGACAGATCGTATCGGGGCGATTTTTGCCTTATCGGTAGACAATTGGCATCGGTAGACAATTGGCATCGGTAAAATTATCTATATTTCCGATTGTCTAAAATCGATTGTTGAGAAAATGCACACTTTAAAAATTATAGCATTGCATATTGTGTTCTAACGCAATATGTTAAATTAATGCGTAAAGCGTGCCATTTATTAACGGTTTTAACGATCTTTGGTTGCAGTAACAGCACAGAGTAGAGACATACACTCAGAGACGTAACTGACCGTTGTAAACACTGCGGAAGATTACGTTATCATGTACCCACTTTTTTTCAGGCCACCGGGCGAAAAATGATCAACTGCGCGTGCTCAGCAAGTTTAAAGTGAGTCGCCATCAGGTCGTCATCCAATCAGATGCATGCATCTAGTAACTTGCAGAGCATGCGCACAAAAAAGTGGGTACACTAGTTAAGTCTCTGTATGTCTCTGCTCTGTGGTAACATGTTACGTTTGGAAATTATCGTTAAAAAATCGACATAAATGACGTCACGTTTACTCGGTCGACTGATATTATGACGTCATTATAAAATCGGTATCCGGCAGATTGTGGCATGAATAATCGGTAATTGATGATTTCAATCACTTCGAATCAATCACATGTCAAGCAATTTTTCAGTTTGCCCTAGCTGTACACAATCATGTAGTCTATACAGTCACACAGACTAATGTTAGAACTGTAACCATTTGGTGGTTTATCACTAAGGTTTTTGTGACTTTGTAGTTTTGATGTGCGTAAGATCCAGAAAAGATTGACGTCAGGCTTCAAACAGAGGTTGTCACTCGCACAAAATAACCGTGCTTCAGCAAGCGACTCAGAGAATACTTTGTATACACCGACATTGGCACATTTCAGCTTCAAGGTAGCTTGTTTTATAACACAGTCATACCGGACCACTTGGGTATATTAACCTACGAAAAAGCCGTGACAACTAAACAATAGACCGGTGCATGCAACTGAACCGTAATCTGACGAAACCACACAGACACTGCTTAGCTAGCCACAACTGAACCAGGGGTGGAAAAAAGGCGAGCACTGCTCTTAGGAAATGTTAAACAGGTGCAGGAAATGAGTTCTCTAACTATTATAAAAGCCAATATAAAACAATATATAAAAGCCTTCCTCTACCCTCGACACAGCCGGATTTATAGGAATACAACTACCTGAAAAATACAAACAGAACTGCGATGTTTCGAGCAAAAGCTATGTATTCGTCAACCTCATACCCAGGTTCTCAATTTTCGCGCCTACCTCGCTTGAATTGAAACCCTGGTATCGGCTGGTCACATGACCTGTCATATTTTGGCGGATTTGCTCAATTGTTTTTAGGGAAAGGATAGTAACTGAAATGTTTTGTTTTGTAATGTTATTTTAACAATATTAATGTTTACTACAATATCTACTTACTATACTTTCCCTAAAACAATTGAGCAAATCCGCCAAAATATGACGGGTGACGTGACCAGCCGATACCAGGGTCTCAATTCAAACGAGGTAGGCGCGAAGACTGAGAACCTGTACCAGTTGAAGATATAGAGAATAATACATGGGTGCGCGGAAATACCAGATTTATTTCTCGTGTTGAACATGATATCTCAAGATTGAGCGCAGCGAACGAGTGAGATATCATGTTCAACACGAGAAATAAATCTGGCATTTCCAAGCATCCATGTATTTTTCTGTTTATTATATAAAGGACAGTCTTTGAAAAACGATAATTTTTACAGAAAAGCGATAATTGAAGAGCGATAATTTTCATATGTCAAATTATCATAAATAATGTGAGATTATCAGTTTTATCAGCGCTCGAAATCTCTATAAAGCACTATAGTTTATATAATAATGTATTTTACATCATGACACTTTTGTTGAACCAGAGAAAGAAGAGGAGGCCAACACTTGCGACGTTAGCGAACCAACCAAGGTTGACGAGGGAGCAGAGAGATAGGAAAAGACGTGATACTGATATTATGCAGGTACGTACAGAATCTCACTTGCGGGCGGGGGGGGGGGATGTTTGGGGGTTGGGTTTGGTTTCACTGCTTGTCTGTATGGATAGTAGCAAGTTTTGAATCCGGTGGCTAATATATAGTATTCAGATTGTAGTTTACTGTATCAATCAATACATCTTGACAGGGACAATCAGTTGATATCCAGGGAGGGAACATCTCTCTTTGTAATTTCTGCCGTTGTCACTACTAGGCATAAAAAATATGTGGGTTTCCTATTTCTTCTTGTAAAAACTTAGGTAGGGTAGGTCGGTTTTAATTTTTTTTTTAAAACTTTTTTTTTAATTTTCCTAACAAGCGGACGTCATTTTGTTTAGTCAGTGCTTCCACATACAAAAATAATTTTCCCGAATATTGCCTCAAATTTCCATTTTCCTCAAACGTTTTTCTCTAAGTGGAAACACTTACAAGCATGATCCAATAAAAAGTTTAGGGTATGGATTTCGGCGTCCAAAAGCTAGGTAGGGTCGGGAAACCGGAAATCCACATATTTTTTTTGGCCCTACCGTAATACAGTACGTCTCTTATAAAATGTCATATGATTTGCTGTTGTAGCTTCAGACTGAGATGCCAGATATCTCTCTTCAACGAGTCGAAGAAACCCTTGGAATATATTCTTATGATATATACCAGAGACCCGAGAGTGGTAAGGAAAACTGTTAAAAATGTAGGTACGCTGTCGCGTACACGGCATCTACTGGATCAAACTGAAACAAAGAATGCTTAATGTGAATAAAATACTCTAAAAACTCAAAACACTTACTATGTACTCTAAAAACTCAAAACATCTTCACCTTAATACTGAATAAAACTTTCTTCGAAGCTCGAAATTTGCAATTTGTGCGGCGAATATTTTTATTCCAACAAAAGAAAGCGCACGATAGAAATAGAATGAATATCAAACCATTTATCGTAAACAGTTAGTCCTGCGAGTACTTTTTAAATAACATCGCTCTGTGTCAGAAATTGCGTTGCATGTTGCAGCAGTCTTTTCTAACATGGCCTTTGCCGTAACCATAGTTAATAGAATAGATGGTTTGGAAACTCTTCAGAATAACAATATAACTCATTATCTATGTTAGTCAACGTTTATTCATAAATCTGGTCCTTCACCGTCACGTGTGTATTGTATTTTTGCCAAATCCACCAATACCAGTTTTCAATTTACCTATTGTTGGAGTCACGGATAGGTAACTTTCCTAAAACATTGCTATTGGTTAGTTGGGCAAAAATGCAATACACACGTGACGGTATAAAGGAACATATTTATATGAATAAACGTTGACTAACATAGATAATAAAGGAATACCGAATGGTTTTCCTTGCAGGATTGCGTGATCCATGCACGAGGGATGTCGCGAGACTTTCGGAAAGTGTAAAAATACTCGAGCCGCAGGCGCGTGTATTTTTACGCTTTCCGAAAGTCGAGCAACATCCCAATTGCATGGATCACGCTATCCTGTTCGGAAAACCATTTGGTAATTGTTTTATTAAATAACTACAGTGAAACAATGACATTTTGAGAATCCCGCGAAAATCCCGCGAAGGCATTTTAATTCCTCGTACAGGATAGCCTGATCCTGCACGGCTATTGACCAATCAAATTGCGCGTTTCACTGTAGTTATTATTATATAATGAGTTATATTGTTAACTTATTCTGAAGAGTTTCCAAACCATCTATTCTATTAACTATGCCGTAACATGTTTTAATTGACAGAAAAAGAGGAAACTGTTGACGATTCAAGCAACGATTCAGTCCAGGGGTACGTTCGCATGTTCATTAACCATTTCATATCCCAATTTCAAATTACCTATCACAGAGGCGTCTTACTCCATATTCAAAGCGTATCAAGCCAAAGGTTTCTTTTGTTTTTAGTCAGGAAAGTCTGAGACCAACGTCTGGTGTTCAAGTATGTATACGAATAGACCAATCCACCACATTTTTCACTCCTTGTGTGACTGCAAAAGAAAGACAATTTATTTAAACCATCGGATCTGATTTATAGAGGCGGAGTCAATCATTACCAAACCTTCTGGTTGGAGAGTCACTTTTAGACGAACTTGGTATACCGGATGATGTTAAGCCAGGTAGAATAACTTATAAAGCATTTAGCATTAGCAGTAAACACACCCAATCGACTGAAAGATTTTTAAAACAATAGCAAATTTGGCGCAGGTCATAAATTCTAAGGATTTGTAAGAAATGTTCCTACTGTGATCACAGAAACTGTAAACGAGTCTATAAAGCAGCAATGCGCACTATTATGCACCTATTTTAACCCACATGGGGAAGTCTGTACGGTGTACTAATCAAAATATTGTCTGGTTTTAGGTCGTCGTGGCAGTGTTGATAACCTAGGGGTAAGTTGAATGGTTTATATCCCTATAAGGCTTTGCGTGGTGCACTCATGAACCATCTCATAGCTATTTTCTTACTTTTCTTCAGATTAATCTTGCATGTGGTGGAAGTCTGGCGTCGATTGACAGTGCAAGTGTCCTAGGAGGAGTAAGGTGGGCGAGGTTTATTCCTTGCTTTTAAGATACGCACTGTCCTTCAATGTAGAGGACACGTTTGTTTTCATTAATCTTGCAATAGACCTTATGCATAATGACGTCACAAGGCTTGATGCCCGAGAGGAATGCTGGTCTTAGTAGTCATCGCCCGGGAAAATTTCAATAGTGGTCATTTTGAATGGAGACCAGCATTCCTCGCGGGCATCAAGCCTTGTGACGTCATTATGCATAAGGTCTATTGAGTAATGATTTCTCGTTCATTTGTTCAGAGGTCAGGAGTCAAATTATCTATCTGCAGATCTAAAGAGATTAGTCTGTGATGAAACATTTTCTAAGGTATATAATATTGTATAAAAGCTTGGCAACTATAAATACTGTATTTCACGTAACTCAAGTTATTAATAAAAGGTGTAAATCTTAGGTCACAACAACAGAACAAGACCAAGATTTACCTCCCTTGCTTCAGGTCAGTTTAAAGATGATGATCATGAAACAAACTTGTCTAGTACACCATTTTGTACTGATTCTCATCGCAATCAAGCAATTTTTCAGCTCGTCTGGTGTGGAGCCACTTATAGAGGAATAGCATCACATCTGTCTTATATTTTCAATAGGCTTTAAGTTACCAGAGTACAAAGAAAAAGAAAGTATTACAACCAAGTTGCGATATCGAGAATGAAGAGAATGAAGTTGCATCAACTGTGGCATCTTCTGTCGCTTGTCATGAGGATTTTGAGGAGAACAACGTTAGTAATAATGTCCCATGGCCTTTGTTAGTAATATTAGGAAGACGAAAACGCATTAAAAGACCTAGTGAGATGCCCCAAATCCTGATATACCTTGCACTTGCATCACCTTAGTGTGGTGACGGTGGCGCAGTCGTCACAACAAGCGCCGTTCACCTCTGAGATCGTGGAGGCGGAGTCATGTGAAAAGAGTCAGTCAACGCTCTGCCGAAAGTCGTAGGTTTTCTCCGGGCGCTCCGGTTTCCTCCCACAGGGAAAGTTGACAGGGTGGGTTAGGATATTACTTTATCACAATTGTTGTAAAGATAAATAGTCTAAGCTTAGTGGGTACACGGCAATACTGATGAAAACAGGATTGAAGAATGCTTTGCTGCCCACATTGTTCACAGTTGTCAACAATATTGAACAATATTGTTGACAAGTGTGAACAACGTGGGCAGCAAAACATTGTTCAATCCTGTTGAGCAGCAAGCTTGGTTTTTTTTTGCCGTGTAATATAAGTAAGCGTAATACTTGATGTAATCGGTCACTGAAAAGCCGCGATGGCGAGTGAGCTTGAATAATCATAATCATAATCATCATCATATAGACCCATTGCACTGACGTCACAAATCCTTCGAGTGTCCTCCAGATGCTCCCTAACAATATCTGTTCGGGTACAACAACCACATACAGCGCAAAAATTAACCATTTTAATACAAAATTATTATAAAGTTTTACAAAATTTGCTTTGTTTACAAAAGTTATATGATGCATACATTGCTAATTTGTCCTCCAGATGCATCGTCATCGGCGCTGTGACGTCATGTGCAATGAGCGCTGCACGTGAATCGCAGGACCACAGCAGGGCGCTGACCACAGCTTCGATTCCCACCGCTCCTGGTTACGTCTAAGATATGTACAAAATTTACACTCGAAATTCCATAACAATGGTGCCATACATACACTCACAGTGGCGTAGCCAGCCCGACAATTTAGTCCCGCTATGCAAATTGAAAATTATTATCATAATTATTTATTTCTTTAGAAATTGATTGTTTTCACAGTCAATGAACACGAGAATATTTGCATAGCGGGACTAAATAGTCGGGCTGGCTACGCTACTGTACACTCGTGATCTTCTTAATCTGTTTTTAGCCCGCACCACCCGTTCAGCCTGCCACCGTGTCAACCAGATTGCCAGATAAGGTAAAATATCAACGTACGGTGATCGCTTTTTTACAACGAGTGATTGTTAGTATACAATCTCTTCAAGACTCCACGGTTTGGATCTATCTTGCATTATCACTGGATCAATGATGCATGGCTCTTACTGGACCTGTAGGGAGAACAATTTAGTTCTGATAGAGCTATCCATGATAGTAGTAATAAAGTTTGCTAGTTTAGTTTAGGTTTTCTCCTGTAGTAAAACTAGAACAACAAGAGGTTGACCTAACTGGAACTCAAGGAAGAACAGTTTAGAACTAATTTCCAGAAAAATATAAGTAGTTTTAATTATTTTAAATCCTTGGAAAAATGTACAATGTTGTTTCATTTCAGAGTGTTGTACGTACGTCTGATGTGCGAGTTTCAAATCGAGTGAACAAGTCTGAAGTGACTTTAAAAACTTTTCCGACTGTCTATAACGATCTCATTGGTGAGGTAAGTACAGGTAATTGAACGGAGATTGATGAAGACGAAAGAGAACAGGACCATCCACCCCACTCAGTTAATGCACAGTTCGACAAAATGATTATTTAGCAAAACATTAAAACAACTCGCCCGAACCAAGAAGCAACTTCTACTTACCCATAATTATTTTATTTGCCCCCGGGCAAGCGCTAAGTTACATCACTGGGCAAGCCCCAAGCACTACTAAGACCTTTTGCATGTATGGTATAATATTTAGATTGACGCAGCTACAGTGAAGTGGCTCGACAGAAATCTCTACATTGGTGATGAAATACGCGAGGTTTACGAAGAAGTCATCAAGACTGTAGGAACTGACCACCTTTTGTTTGATCAGGTTAGCTATCATCATTATCATCATCATCATCATTACCATCATCATCATCATCACCACCACCTTCATCATCATCATCATCATCATCATCATCATCATCATCATTATCATCATCGTCATCATCATCACCACCGTCATCCTTGTTTGTCCCCTCGACACCTTTCTCCAATCTATTCTGTCGTCAACTTTACCCAGATCCACCACTCCTGATTTCCTACTCCCCGCTGCGTTTCCTATATTCTCTTCACGTGGCCATACCATCTTAAGACTGTTTTCCACTTCAACCGTATCGTAATGTACAGTAGCATGTTCTTTTGTGTCGAAGTCATTATCCACACTAGTACTCAGAAAACAAAAAAATACGCTTCGGTACGATACGATTGAAGTGGAAAACTGGCTTTAGTCTAGTTTTTCGTATCTCTCTAACTTATCACACTGTTATATTTATTACAGGATCCTTATGTGGAGAAGCATGCAACAGGGGTGGACTTCTCTAACACAGTACATTCATCGATGTTGTCAGGCAGTAAAGATAATCGCATAATTAATCCCTCATTACATCGTGATATCCCGCCTCCCTGGGGAAAACATCCTATTGATGAGTGGAAAAACAGGTGAGAATGAAAGAACTGTTGGTTTCGAATACTCAACCCAGAAGGAACCGTTTAAAAACAAATGTAAAGGCTTTTTCACGCTATCAAAGTTTGTGATCACAGTAGGATTTTGCATAGGTAAGTTTGGCAGAATTTGTAAGAAATATTTGAGGGAACTGACTGGATATCTGGAACAAACATTGATTAGGTTTCCTCAAACATTTCTTACAAATCCTTCAAAACTTGGAATTTACCTGTGCTGCAAAATTCCTACTGTGATCACAGAAACTTTGATAGTGTAAACCAGACTTAGGGCTCTGATTTGAAATTTTTGTATTTTTATTTCTTCAGTCCAATGTTTGGAGAACTTGGTCGACAGGACATATTGAACGTAAGTAAAAACTTTTTTGTCTTGAGTTCTGGGTGTGATGTGCAGATACATATGGGAAGTGCAGGATTGTATCTTTCATCTCTGTCACAAGGCTTCAATTCCTCATGCAAACTTGTATGATTATAAATTATTTAACCTCAGTCAGTCCCATGCGAGAAGAATGCTTCCATTTTGACAAACATCGCAAGTTTTTTGCGCGTGCACTGAACCAAAAAAGGGAGTGCCTTAACTGGCACTCTAGGGAGAACAGTTCAGAATTGACAGGATACTCAGTACCTATTGCTGTATCAAAGTTAGTTTAGATCCCTCCTGTAATAAGACAGGATCAACAAGTGTTGGCGTTTACTGAATGACAGTTTAGGCCATACTGAGAGAGTTATCCAACTTATTTTCATTCACATGATAGATGGGTCAACAAGGTCTGAGTGATTTTCCTGGTAAAGCAAGCAAGTCGTATAACTCGTGGTTAGCGTGGTGGAGATCAACTATCACTGCTGATGACTACTTCAAATATTTATCTACACAGGTACTGGAAAACGACACACTGTAACTGCCCAGCCGGCCATGTCTTCAATAACGATGAAGCCACCATGCACCCCTCTCTATTAAGTAAATAAATAAGCCTCGAGGATTTACGGTATTCCTCATTTTCCCCCAGGATAATGACTATCTGTCATTGGCGTATCATCTCTACGAGTCAGATGACAGCGACTGTGAAAATGACGGTGATAAAGATCGCAAACCAAGTGCAAGAGAACTTGAGTTGAAGAGGTGAGAGTTTTCTCAACTCTCATGTTCCGGTCAAACGAGAACAAGAGTTGCATGAGAGTTGATGAGAGTTGAGAAGCGAGAGTTTACATCAGAGTTTTATCAACTCTCATGTCCTGGTCAAACGAGAACAAGAGTTCCATGAGAGTTGAGAAACGAGAGTTTGCTGATGAGTTTATCAACTCTTATACCCCGGTCAAACGAAAACAAGAGTTTACATGAGAGTTGACTGGATATCACCACGAGCGCAGCGAAAACTCTCATCAAAATTTGAGCCAGTTCACAGTCGATGACAGTTGATGAGAGTTGGCGCTCAAACGCGAGCAAGAGTTGCAACTCTCATCCTCGTTTTGCCGAGGCTTGTAGTTCGATTTTAACAGTCTATGACATTTCACTATGTAGAGCGAGAGAAGAGAAAATAGCGGAGATCAGGAAATTAAAAGAACATTACGATGCTGGATATTGGAATGCCAACAGTGTGTTGTTGGGAGGTCTTGGGAAATATCCGGATATTACTAGTACGTGTACTTGCACTATATATAAATTCAATTTTTCAACTGTTCTCAGTCGTTGAGACTCGTTTGTGGTTTCTTTGTGAATTATTAATGAGTTTTACAATGTTTTATCCAGATGAAGAGCTAGGTATTAATATTGAGGTGAATGCAGAGAGTCCTTCTCATAATGAAGACAGCAGTTTCACACCATGCAGTCCTCTAACTAATGGAGAAAGATCTGAGGTAAGGTATTACTATACAGGGCCACCGACAGGTTGCCCGGGGCAAAAGTTTCCCAGGGACTCCTTCGACGTCATAATTGTAAAACGGAAGAGCGTTGTTTTACAATATATTACACTTTATTGCATATTATCAGGCACTAACAAAGCTAGTTATATTCTCAGTTAAGCAATCTTGTGTCAAGAAATTTTAAGGGACTTTGTTGCTTTGGGCCCTTTTTGAGCTGTGAGTCCAGGGCAAAGTGCCCTCCCTGCCCCCCCTCTCAGCGGGGTTGTTCCAATGACTTTCCGAGCCTAAAATTCCGACACTCTCGTTCCTCATTCCATTCGTCGTTCCGTTCCTCGATTCCTCCTTGTTTCGAAATAGCCAACACCATTTTGCAAGAATTGAACCACAGAAGGAACAACCCTTTTCAATATTTGTTTATCAAGGTGTGCACTCCGTTGAGTTTACAAGACAGACTGGAACGTGTGTGGACGCTCATGTGTATGCCAGATAACCTGAGATTGGATATGGCAATTAAATATAGCTCGGAAACCTATATTGATTCTTTGGAAGAGGTGAGAAGCAAACTAAATAAGTAGATTAGTTAATAATGAACGAATGATTGATAAAAAGGTCACCTGGTCGATTCCTACCAAGCAATTTTTCAGTTGGAGCAAGCTGGAGTAGCATGATGACTCATTGATATTTTTATGTGTTTTTTTACACCCATCAGGTATTACAACAGTGGGAATCTGCTGTGAAACTGATCTTGTCCAGAGAAGCATTGATTATAAAACTGGAAGATTTTGAAAGACTTGCATCGGATCCGAACCGCTTCTTTGAGAAAGGTACATGCACCCAAATTATTTCTAATTATTCTATGTTCACACAGGACTGGACGAAATTGGAACCGTGTGTGAATTCGTCCAGTTACATTTGCTGGAAATCAGCTTCGGTTGACGGGGTCAGCGTGTATTAATAACATTTCTATCTGTCTATCTATTTGCTGACAAGGAGATTCGTTAGCTGTGCTTATAAGGAAGACTATTAATACCATGGTACACCAGACAGTTTTTCTGGCACTTGTAACGCAATTTCTGACGTTTCTATAGGCAGCCCTGGATCAGCTAGTTCTCGGATTAAAGAAGCGAAGACCAGAAAACAATTACATCATGTAAGTTTAAAAAATGCAAACTCCAAGATATTGATTATTTATTCATTGAATATGAATACGAATGATTTTTTGAATAGAATACGAATGATTTTTTCGAATGATTTTTTCTAGAATACGAATGATTTTTTCTGTTTCAGAAATTAGACATGATCGAAGTTCGAGTTAAGAAAATTCTTGAAGCGATTTATCAAACGTTTGGTGATATCGTGACTTTTCAGGTATAAACATACACTGGTATATAATATGTAAAAGAGAAGAGGGGCACACCTCTAGTTCCAGCCGACCACATGTAATTTCATCTCTGATTGATAGGGTCGTCCATATTTGGAGAAAATGTCAAGCGACCGTACCGAGATGTTGTATTGGCTCCAACAAGGACGACGTCAAACTGCGCTGGAAATGGCGAAGAAAACTGTGGAACTAAGGATGTTAGAGATGCCTGTATCAGTGCAAGTAAATAATGTTGTGTAATTGTCATTCTTTAAATTATTCTATGCCCAGTCAACGTCTGAAATTCAGTCCGCTATGAGCACTATGAATCAATCCGCAATGTTCCTTAGAGATCCTATATGATCTTAGAGATCCTATATGATCCTTAGAGATCCGCAATGTTCCTTAGAGACCCACAATTGTCCTTAGAGATCCTCTAGAATCCTTAGATATCCGCAATGTTTGTTAGAGATCATTGCCAGCAAGTAATGTTGTGTGATTGTCATCAATAGGCAATTCCAGCTTTCAGTTTATGCCTGCAGGGGATGATGGGAAGTAAGGTGTCATATTGCTGATTATGCTGAAAAATTTCAATAAAAACTACCGAAACAACGGAAATATTTCAATATTTACAAGTATAAGCTATCACTCTGTGTTTACACGGCCGCCATTTTTATTTTTTCAGCATAATTAGCAATATGATACCTTACTTCCCATCGTCCCCTGCACGCATAAACTAAAAGCTGGAATTGCCTATTGGAAAAACCTACAGTAGGAAAACCTACTAATGATCAAAGTAACGGAAACGGTTAAAACTAGAAGCGTGGCTGCAGCAAGCTTAATCACCCATACAATTTCATGTACTTTAATTAACGTACTTATTGTCCTGGAAATATTTGCAGTGTGAAGGAGATGCAACTCTCTGCTCAATATTTTTCAGGAATAGTTGTATCTCCTTCACACTGCAGCTGTCTGTTATCGCCTCCACTTTCACTGACACCGACCGTTTCAATACTGGGTAATGACCGCATAAATAACACTTTTATATGATCGTGTAAATATAGAAGCAATACGAAATATAGGGAAGTAGATTTGTTATCTAATTCTCGTGACCAATATGTTTACGTATTTCTGTCTGAGATATTCAAATGAGGACACACCAATGTCAATGACACAAACGCCTACGCTTTGTGAAAATTGAGAGATTTCAGGATTTTAGGATAGATAAATCCTTGATAAGAAGTAGTTATTAGAGCTTAAGAGTGGTTCAAGAGTTGTTGATACAGTTTCGAATGGAAATGTATATACATTTGCAACTTGACGTCCCTTATTTCTTCGGAGTTTCTATTGTATTGTATTTTATCAGGTCTATTAATAAATTATATAAGACATATAACTTTCCACTCGATAATTCCATTTACAATACCCTTAATGCAACTTGATTTCAACTACTATTTACCACTGCTTTGCTCACTTTTTACATTCAAACGTTCTTCTTTCGATTCTCAATTTCTGATATATTGTAATATTGAGTTGAAGTTGAGCATACTGCTGCTCTCATGGTGTCTTGCTGTGACCTTGACATTCACGAAAATTCTACATGAACGGATCATGTTGAAAACGTGGCTAAAATTCCACAAACTTGCAAAATTTTATTTATACGTTGATGAAATGTTGAAAACGTGGCTAAAATTCCACAAACTTGCAAAATTTTATTTATACTTTGACTGATGAAAGAACATATACAATAGTTGGTCAATCTAATATTTTTGGAACAGGAATAGTCATGTACACTTGACTATGCTCAATGTTGTTTGTATACGTTATATACTGTTCCCAACTACTGTTATGTTCCATTCAAATGAGAACAAGACCGTCATCAAAATTTGAACCCACTCAAAGTTAATGAAAGTTGAAGACAGTACAGTACATTATATAAAACAAATAATGAATGTTTATTCGTGCAATGCCAATGGCAAGAATATTTTCATTTGGTGAAAAAAGATGGAATGTTCCATTCAACTCGGCTGTCGCCTCGTTGAATGGAACATTCCATCTTTCACCTCATGAAAATATTCTTACCATTGCACTCATAAACATTCATTATTTGTATAAGAGTCGACGAGAATTGGCGGTCCAACACTACGAGCGAGACTTGCAACTTTCATCAACTCTCAATGCTGGAATGGATGTATAACACTAATAAGAATTAATGACTTATTATGGATATTCTTGTGAATTTTACGAAATAAACAAGCTAAGAAATTGCCAAGTAGCCGCATTTTCTAATGCAATTACCCTGTAAGAAACATTTTCATGCAGAGGTATTACGCAGTTACCGAGTTACGTGTACTAAATGACGATAGACACTATATAGTTCATGGTCAAATTCCTCTTGAGTGAAGTATCACTCCTTCTCTATTAATGCCTCCAGCCTCAAAGTACTGAAAAATGTACATATTGTTACATTTTACAGTGGCAAGATTGTAAAAACCATAGTTATAACCTATATAGATGAATATACCGGGAGCTTACAGTATATGTATCACTTCAGCCAACTTCAGCCTGTATAGATGTGGTCTATTCTGTGGTTATGGCATTGAAACACAACATGAAGTACAAGCACAGATACAAGGGAATGTTGTGACGTGCTTAAGCACGTCCTTCACTCTCATTGGATGGGTAACTTTGCCCTGCTGTGTGATTGGCTACCGAAACACGCCCTGCCATATGATTGGCTGTTAATGACGTCGTTCTATTTTGGGAAAGTATTGCACCACGAACGGCAACAAACAGCAACAAAAAGCCGGGTCGTCGACGCTTCAAATTCACTTCATATTCTAGATTTTGAACAGGGAAGTTTTATCGCATTGGAGACGTTCAAATTCTCGGCGTTTTTCGCTGTTTATCGCATTGGAGACCTTCAAATTCTCGGCGTTTTTCGCTTTTGCAGAAGTTTCGGGCACCCGTGAGAGGCGCCTGAATTTGCCAAAACCACCGCGTTTAAAGAACCACCGTTTACGACGGCAGTTGAGTCTGTACTTGCCTTTAAAATAAAAGAGCAAAAAAAATGTATAGAATCGGAGATTCTTGCTGCAAAACCAACATGGCCAAACGAATTCAGAGTCGACAGTTGCGACGATTTTCTCGGAAAGCATGGAGAGAACAGTCTATACGAAAGCGAAGTACACATTCCGTGCGGAGTTTTAGAGATTCCATACGAAATTTTGACGGAAAACGAATACAATATTTTGCCCTCGACTCGCAAACACGAAGCGAAGCCAATTCAACAGCAGAACACGAAATTGGAGGCCGAAGCCTTCACAAAGATGGACAGTATCTTCTTCCCGGATCTGAATGGTCCATTTAATCTTGAAGGTGAGAAAAAGTAAACTATTTTTTAGTTGAAAAAATCGCAAAAATTGTTGTTTCTATCTTGTCGGTATCTCTTTGATGTTTATTTGTGATGTCACCATGGGGATATTTTGTAATATTAGAGTAAAAAGTTGCAATTACGGTTTTATTTGCAACATTTTGTGACATTTTAAATAAAAAAATACAGCAGCATAAATTTGCAGCAAAATGCCAACATTTCTATTGACATTCCAGTGCTTAATAGAATTACAGTATTGTATCAGACTCTTCTTTGAATATTTTCTGGAGTTGTTGACAAATAGGTTTTCAGAACAAATTCATAATCCCTCTATTGTGTAAATATTCATAAAATGCTTCAATTGATATAATTATTTTCTTTGATTCAGATATTCTCCCGGATGACCCATGGATTGATAATACAGAATTCCCTGTACAAAACCTTGAAAATATACCGGAGCCTAACGTCACAGCACGAGAAGTTTTAGAAGAAACTATTCTATCACCGGCTGCGAACTTGCTCGGTACAACGGAAGAAATTGATTATTTCTTCCCAGAAGAATTTATGAACCTGGCTGCAATAGAGTCAAATATGAACTCTTTTAATACTGACCCCATGGCCGGCTTGCTGGCCATGGATAACGTTGTCATGCCAAATATTTTTGGCGACTTCCTAGTTAAGGAGGAAATTGCACGTCCAAATGCTTGCCAAATTCCGAGCCTCTTCCTTGAACCTACTCCTGAGAACATAGTTCCTGAACCCATCGATGATTTTGACACCACAGCTGTTGTACCAAATGTCATTCCAGCATCGCCCCTGTCGGTTCCAGCATCACCCCTGTCGGTTCCAGACAGTCCCGTCGATAGCACTGATTGTGGCAATTTCAATCTCTCCCTTGACATCGATCAACTGAACCCAGCTGTTCTTGCATTGTTGGAAAATCTTGAAAGATCTGTTGAAACCAATGATGAACCCAACAGCAGAAAAAGAGCGCTTGTTGTCATGGAAGAGAGCAGTGTCCCTATTGAAGCGCCTGCCTGTAAGAAGAGAAAGCCACAGTCCTGTAGCTCTACAGACGAAGAAATAATTCCTGATAAGGCCACAGAACGTCGAGTCAAAAACAATGCAGCATCCCGTGTCTGTAGAGCTTCAAGGAAAGCACGTCATGGAGAATTGTTCCAGCAAGAGAAAGAGCTGACTGAGGAAAACAAGGAATTGCGAAGCAAAGTTCAAAAACTGTCGGCAACTGTCGAGTACCTACGGAAAAATCTAGTCTATAGGTTAAGCGCACAGCGCAAGTAAATGCAGCCAGTGAACAATTAAAAAAGACTTGTAGGTTGTCTTGTAAAAATATTTACTATTGATTTCTTTTGACAACTATTAATTGATTTGTTGCAAAGAACTTTGGAACTAATTTGTATTATAAATTTTCATCAGAAATCAGTAGTGAATATTTAAGACTTGTATCTATCCAGGTGATCTCGTGTTCGTATTTTAGCCAATCAGCGCTCAGAAAGGGTTGTCCGAAAAGAAATCCATTTTGATGTATTCAGTCAATTATATCTTTCGTTATTCTTTATGAAACTAGTTGAAATTTTGTAATTATGTTTGGTTATGAGAACTATAGCTCTGACAAAAATATGGAATCGAAATAAAGTATATTACAGGAGATATTCAGTTGTTTTAATCATAAAATGGATTTCTATTTGGCAACTGGTGCCAGTACTTTTCCGCGTATCAAGATCACCTGGATATCATACCAAAAATGACAATACTTAGACTTACATGACAAAACTAACAACAAAAAAAAACAACAAAAAAACAAACGGACAAAAAAATTGCACAAATAGTCTAGAATCATGCCAAAGGCATTTGTTGAGTTATATTTTATTTGTAGTTCATATTGTTATTTGTAGTTCATATTGTTATATTGTTCATATACCAACAAATTTTGTAAAATTGTAGCAAAAAATTGTAATCATTTCTAAATATACCAACATATAAACTTGTCTTCTATGTTTTATTCATCTTTTCAGTGCTGTTTACTATTAACCCTATTAAGTTGCATTGCACCCTATGTGCCCAAATGGCAGACTATTTTATGGTGTTAGAGTATACAATAACAATGTAAGGTACAATGCAACTGAATGGCGAATTTACTCATCAAGGAGAGAGTGCTAGTGCTCAACGGATGGGTTAATATGTGCATCTTGATCATCAGACCAGTTATTTTGGAAATAATTACATAATCTATCTTCACTTCATTAAGGGATACAAGCCACCACTTCTTGAACAAAATTTATTAACATTTAACAAAACTTTCTTAAAATCTTTAGATAAAAGTTTGATTTCTTCCATCAATATAAAATACCCTTTTAAATCCTTTTTTATACTCTATACAATAATGTCAATTAACAGAACTGAACAAAACTTTATATTACTTTATTATTATTGACCAACAGTTTTAGGGTTTTATATGGTCCCGCTTACCCGAGATTTAATGAAGTGTGACGTATTTTGAGCATTTGAAATGCGTGTTTCAGCCCTAAACAAAAGTTAGATAACTTTAAATATTGTTTAAACGAAATTAGGAACGCGCTAGAAGTTATGTAGCGGAAGAAGACGGTTAATTTAATAACATTCAACAACATTTGTTTTTTTTTGTCTAAAACATGGAATTTCACATGGAGTGCGACTTTGAATCCCGGGTAAGCGGGATCATATAAACTGCCCTTGGTTATGGATGTCCAATTTCATCCTTGCTGGAACAGGCTTAAAATAAAAAACAATTGCAGTTCAACTTTGTGAAATTCACCTATGACTAACACATGCAATGGTGAACTCTGTAAAGTGTTGGCATTTTCTTATCGATCTAATCTTCGGCTGGCTGTTTTAATCATTTTCTTGGTATTCCATTTATCATGTCTCAACATCCAGTGACCATTATAGACAAACAGTATGGTCATCCTGTTGGAGTAATGCAGATCTGGTAGCAACTACATGGAGAAGAAATAGAGTTTAGGGCTTGAAATGTAGTATTCAGATATTTTGCACAGTAAACCCAGCCTTATACCACACAAAACCACCCCATGTTATACAACACTACACCATACCATACAACACCATGCCATACCACATATACTATACCACATAACACCATGCCACACCACACACACAACAATACCATGCCACTCTTACCTTTGGTGACATCAGGAAATGTTGTGGTGTATTTGGTCGTGTGGAAGTCTCAACCATCAACTCAAACACCTTTCTCTCATTGTTAGGATCCATACCCTGGGCAAGAAATGTAGTGTTAGATTCATAGGCAAGAGCTAGTTTTTCAATTGGTAATAATCCTGGATTACGGTCCACACTATCAAAATCAGTTGCCTCATTATAATTTCGCCTTGAGAGAATTGTTTCCATGAAAACTCTTCAGGAACTCCGGGTTTCCTCCTGTAGTAACACTGAATCAATAAGAAATGATCCTTACTGCACCTCTAGAGAGAACAGTTTAGAACTGACAGAGCTATCCAGTATAAATAAAGTTAGTTTAGGTTTCCTCCTGTAGTGACATTGAATCAATAAGAGATGATCCTTACTGCACCTCTAGGAAGAACAGTTTAGAACTGATAGAGCTATCCAGTATAAATAAAGTTAGTTTAATTCAGGTTTCCTCCTGTAGTAACACTGGATCAATAAGAGATGATCCTTACTGGACCTCTAGGAAGAACAGTTTAGAACTGATAGAGTTATCCAGTATAAATAAAGTTAGTTTAGTTTAGGTTTCCTCCTGTAGTAACACTGAATCAATAAGAGATGATCCTTACTGGACCTCAAGAGAGAACAGTTAGAACTGATAGAGCTATCCAGTATAAAATGAAGTTAGTTTAGGTTTCCTCCTGTAGTGACACTGGATCTCTAGGGAGAACACTTTAGCATTCCTATAAATTATCCTGTATTGTTAGATATCCTATAAATTATACCATTACCTGGTTAATTTCATCGACTACTCTAAATGGACATCGGGTCAACTCTTGCAAAGACATCAAATACAAAATAGTTGAAACACTTTTCTCCCCACCACTTTGATGGAATTGTGTGAGTACATGTAGACTATCTTTAGCCCGAAATTTCACTTTGATTTGAACTCCATATTTTTCATAGTTCTCCTCGCCCTACATAATGAAGTTATTTTCATTCAGTGTCCAGGGGTCGGATAGAGTTATCCAACGGATAGCGATTTTTCAACCGTTTATTGGTGGAAATTTTTCACGCAGGAAAAAATTTTGAAAATTTTCAACTTTTAACAATGATATTTTCGGAAAAGTTTCTGTCCATGGAAAATTTTCTTGAGTGAAAATGGGCCTTTAAACTTTAGTATTTAAAAACTAATGTTTATTTTTATTAATTGTGAAGTTTATGTCCGTAATTTTTACTGTTTCAAGCATTTTTACAACGATTGAAAAAATCACTATCTGGCCTTCGCACACCCACCCCAGTAGTTTAGCCAATCCAATGAGCCAATCATAAAAGTTTACTCTTTGGCGGGAAACTTTCGCGGGCTTTTTTGAGAGCGCGAAAATTCCCGACGTTGATTGACCAATGAATGACGCGCATTCCGCTTACGACGACTCTGATTGGCCGGCTAAATAAGTTGTGACCAAGTACCGGAGTGAAGCTGTATAACTTTGACTTTGTGTTTAAAATTGCAATAAAAGATTGTTTAATATTATAAAAAACAACGATTTGTAACCGGAATTTATAACAAATGGTTATTTGAAAATTATTTCTTTCATAACTGTGCGTAAGTTGCCTTCCAACAATACGAAACAAGGAAGTTTTGCTCTTTATCCTTTGACAGACGTCACACAGTCGCGTTACAACAGCAAGTGTTCGGGTAGCATGTTCGTGAAAACGTTAACAGTTCACTGTGGCAAGGAGGACAGAGATATGGAGAACCGACATTTTGCTGGACACAGCCACAGGTAATTCATATCTACTGTACATTGTATACAGCATACGTGTTGTTATATTAAATCAATTGTGTTATAAAACTCGAATTGAGCACCGAACATTTTTTCGCTGCAAGCAGGTTAATACTAAAATCTTCACAGAATAAAATTTTTCATGATACCTGATCGGTGGCCAAGGACACTTCACCAGCACATTGCAATTTACGGAAAAATCCAACAAATTTTTCATTTATTTTTGCCAACAGTTCATTTAACGGCGTCATCCACCTGTAAAACATAGTGTCATTATAGTTCAGAGATGAAATAAGAAATGTATTTTGGAAGCAGGTTTTACTAAGCACTATCGTGCAGCAAATGCATGGTGGCCAACCTGCAGCAGCCAAGACCTACAGTAGGCCCTTTGGCATGTTTGGTCAATTTTGGGCTAGCATTTGGTAAATATGATCGCCTGAGTCCCAGTCCTCTCATGTGAAAAAGCGCTGAAATTAAACACAGCCCATGTCTTGGAAGGTCTTTTCCCATTACTCATACCTCTCTTTCAACGATTCTAGTTGGTTATCCTTGTTCTTGATTTCATCTGAATGACTTGCAATCTGTACATAATTTGAATCACTTTGTTAACATAAAGTCGTGTTGTGCCTGTACCAGGTCTGGTATCAGATTTTTAGGGGATACAGGTTTACTATAGGGTTTCATCCTTCCACCATCATCCAATTAAATATGTACATCTCTTTTCGAAATGCTTGTTATATAAGGTCAGCTATAATACTACAGTTTTCTAGATAGAGTTGCACATTTTTTTACGATTTCTTCTATTTGACAAGGATGAATAACTTACGATTTGTGAGAGTTCTTCTATTTCTTTCTTCCTTTTCTCGTAATCTCTTATCACCTGGAATAAGTTGAAAACTACAGTCAAGTAGTAGAACAAACACTGAAGACTGAATTTCACTACCTTCCCGCTAGTGAGAATTACATTTGCTTCATTATAAAACGGGGATAGTAGATTTTGAAATGTACTATTCCGTCTGAAGATCCACTAGCAGGATTCGTAGCGGTCTTTGAAATCCTTGTAAGTCTTTGAAAAGTCTTTGAATTGTGTGAAAAAGCGAAGAAAGTCTTTAAATTCTTTTGTGAGGAATTGATTATACGATTTTCTAGCTAATAAAATAGATTGATTGAAGCAAGATTTTCGCAAATATCGACAAAAAGGCGCATTTTAGGATGTGATTTGACTGGACTAATTACTGTGTAAAAATGGTGCTTGCACCAGGCAGCTGATTGCTCTCAAAGGGCTTTGAAAAGTCTTTGAAAATAGGCAGAAAAAATCTTTGAAAGTCTTTGAATTGTTTTGGTCTTGGAGACTACGAACCCTGACTAGTCCGTCGCGTAACTTCTGCTTCACAAGATTTCGTCAGGGTTGTCAGCCATAATCATGCAAGACATTACCTGTGGATTTGTCTGGTAGTTGCAGTCAGCCTTTGCTTTCTCGCTGTGAATCATGTCCTCGATTTCTTGCACTGAATTCGGATAGGCTTTGAAAAGCTGCAAAAATCGAAAATATATTGTATTGCTGTTTCTACGGCTAAATGTATACACTACAAATATAATTAAGTATGCAAACATTGCGACCACAAAATAGTTACTGGTGAATGTATTGTCGTTTTCTGTTAGTAATCCGTCTTCCAGTGAGTTCAAAATACTGGTTAGCAGAACTCAAATGTTGTCGAGAAGATCCCATAGTTCAAGAAGATTATTACTGCTGCTTGAACAACCTTTCTTTTACAATTATACTATAATCTATCACTAGAAAATAATGTAATTTTGCCAAACTGCACGTACACCTCTAGGAAGTACATTTTGTTTCAATCTATCCAGAGTATATAGACTTGCTAACCTCCTTGTATTCGTCGGATAAATCTGCTCCCTCGGGTGTTTCTGTTGCTTTCTGCGCTGCTTTGAGCTGCTGTTTCGCTTTCCTACGAACAAGTTCGTATTCGTCCCTGACTGCGTCGAACTCGGTCTAAATATGATAGCATTGAAAATTAGAACAATATGCGCAGTATGTAATCATCAATAGATTCATCGATCGTTTTTAGGCTGTTTTCCATTACAACTGTAATGTCTCATGGAAACGAGGCTCTATAGCCATGGCTAAGTACTTTCCGAAAGGGTGTATTAGCAATTTTCATACGCCATAGAAAACTCTTGCTGGACAAACAGTACCTCAAGGCCCACGAGTTGTTCACTAGCTTGCCGAATTTCCGCCTCAATATTTGTTCGTTCCATCACAGCTTTAGAATGCCTCATCCCAATCAAAACTCTTTCTTTGGAGAGCTCAAGACATTTCTAAAAAATAAGTCGATAATATCTAATAAATACTTTCTGTGAAGGGAGAGACAACTTTATTTATACTGGATAGCTCTAGCAGTTCTAAAACTGTTCTTCCTAGAGGTCCTGTAAGGATTGTGTAGTCTAAATAGACCTTTCCCCTTTTCAGTGAAATTTTGATCTAGGATAATATAGCCTTGCGAAATTTGCCGTTTTTCAGTCATTTAGTATTACAAATGGGAAATTGATAATCAGTTTGATCATCTGATTATCAATTTCCCGTTTGTAATACAAAATGACTGAAAAACGGCAAACTTCGCACGGCTATATTATCCGCATTTTACAACATTTCGCAACGAAACGTCGGAATATAACTAATTTTGTGATGCTCTTTCAAGCTGTGATGAAATTTGTGTCCAGGCATATCTAGATCAAAATTTCACTCATAAGGGGAAAGGTCTATTGGCCTTCATACAGTACTGTACAGCTGTTGATTCCACCATACCTTGACTTGTGTTTGCATTTTCACCGCAATATCGACTCTTTCTCGGTTTAATTTCTCAACTTCCGCGTTGATTCTTTCCTTTTCCGCAGCGATATCTGGCATTTCTGTCTTATTTAACTCAATACTAAATAACAGAGGGAAATACTTGTACATTTAGATCAAGCGATGACTTATGAAAGTTTTCATATATTTTAGTGTATCTATCGTAAACCTTTTCTCCTTCGTTTCAATTTGGTTGACGACGGATCTGTGTCGACTTTGTTTATGTTGAAGATCTTTCTATAAATGTCCGAGAAAAATGGATTTTAGGCAGTTTCACGATGTCTTAAACATGCGTCACTAAAGCCCACTACCTATTTAGGTAGTCCAAGAACCAAAAAAGTGGTACGGGTACCAATGGACCATTTGCATTATAGACTAAATTTTGATCTAGACAAAAATTTCATCACAGCTTGAAAGAGCATCACAAAATTAGTAATATTCCAAAGTTTCGTTGCGAAATGTTGTAAAATGTGGATAATATAGAATTGCGAAATTTGCAATTTTCAGTCATTTTGTATTACAAACGGGAAATTGTTGCCCCAACACCCGATTGGGCTGTCAATTTTCCGTGCGTAATACAAAATGACTGAAAAACGGCAAACTTCGCAAGGCTATATTATCCGCATTTTACAACATTTTCAACGAAACTTTGGAATATTACTAATTTTGTGATGCTCTTTCAAGCTGTGATGAAATTTTTGTCTAGATCAAAATTTAGTCTATAATGCAAATGGTCCATTTTATCCGTGCCGATTTTAGGTGTGATTTTCTTCTTCTGATGGATGTGAACGAGTGGATAAGTTATGAATGTTCAGATGAGGGAACATCATTGAACTAAAATATATGGAACGCTACCTTAACTGAACATGCCGAGACTTGCCTGAAGCCAAATTTTACCTCCAGACACGCGTGTCTGGAGGTAAAATTCACGCGCGTTGTCGCGTTTCCTGCGTGGCGCCGAAGAACAGCGACAGCCAACTCTGGTAGCAACATGTGATTGAAAAGGTTTTGAAAAGGAAGGCACTTCTCTTGTTATGGAGGTAATCGGTTAAATTTTCATTCAATACAGCATGAATCATAACTTTTCATACGTGTATTCGATCGGTAAATCGGGGAAATGAAACATTTTTTCGTTTAAATTGAATGTGTGCACAAACGACATGGATTCAGAGATTCAGAGTGGCATTGTAAAGTTGTAAACACGTAAGTGCCTTTACTAAATTTATTAAATATGCGTGAAGCTCAATCGCATCTGCAACAGAGTAACTGAAATTGTATGTGATTTGAGGACAGTTTGTTTGCCAGGTTCAATCCTTCTTGTTCTTGAATATTCTGAAGCTCTTCGATATGTTTCCATCTTATGATGTTGCCATCTCCATCAATGGGCCATTCCATTTATTAAATATACCCAGGCACCCCCTATTGAGGGGTCCCTTCCAAATCCCCTTAGGATATAAACATTTTAGAACCCCCTTGGATGTGATTTTTGGAAGTTACCCCATGGATATCTTGATACCCCCTTTACAGACCTCTCAACTTCAACCCCCGTCGCCAAAAAAATTTCGGTCAGTGTACCATTTTAGGGGTCAAAAAAAATTTCCGGACAACCAATATTTTTCGGAACATACACAAAATTTTCGAAAAATCACAAAATTTGCCAAAAAATTGAATTAAGTTTAGACAAAATTTACAGAATTTGTCACATTCCTTTTATTGCAACCCAAAATTGCCCGACTGTTGATCGAATATTGCCCGACTGCCCAAAAAACTCGCCCGGTACGCCTATGCGGATGTGCCAAAATTTTTATGCATTAGATTTACTAAACGTGGCGTGAGAGAGAGCGCGAGACTGAAGCGAATTGCGTGAGACTCACGCCGAATGCGTGAGAATTGAAAGGTCTGGCGTGAGAGCGTGAGACTGAAGCGAATTGCGTGAGACTCACGCCGAATGCGTGAGAGTTGAGAGGTCTGCCTTTAGGATATTGTTTTTGCCCCCTTGGATATCACTAAAACACCTAATTTCTGCTATTTTTTTGAAAAATTTTAGGTAAAAACCCCCTCCCCCATAGGATATCCAGACCCCTCAATAGGGGGGTGCCTATATTAAATGGAATGGCCCATTATAAAGGATCCCATGGACAGGGTCGAGTATCACAAAAACATCTTTGGTTGTTGGATTCTTAAAAGTTACCAGAAAATTTGCAACCCAGTGTTTTGAATGTACTAATGTTAACATCTGTGCCATCAGCTGTTACTGACCTCATTTTTAGATTAGCATTTGCAACTTTTTCAAGACACTTTTTACCAGTGTGGCTTGGTCCTTTGCATTCATTTTATCAGCCAAGAGGTATCCCACTGAACATTTACAATGACTTCTGGTGCCTACCAGAAGAAAAACCAAAGCTTCTGTGGCCAATTTTTCTAAATGTCCATTAGGAATCTCATTTCCAAAGTCTACAAATCCGTAGGAGTCTTTTTCTGGATTCCAAATGGTTTGTTTTCGGATAGACATTGCGTCTATTACCAAACAGTAATCTTTGTCAGTATTTGATTCGGCTCGGCTCGGCTGATAATGCTTACCTCAACCTTCTAAGAAAGGGATGAGAATGCCTCATCAATAAAGCCTTGATGTAATTTTGTGTAATTCATCACTTGAGGCACATCTTGGTCTTTTTTTCTGAAATTGAAGGATCATTTTCATGTGCTGGACATGGTCTCACGGTCTGTTCTTCTGTTTAATTCCTCGTCATGTGCTGTTAATGTTGGTGGGTCAGAATGTACAGGTGAACCAGATGGAAAAGCATATTTTTTGAGTCGACATGTGTTGTTGGATGAAGGAGGCAAGATATAATCAGTTGACTGGAAATGCTTGCTGCCTATACGACTGTCCTGGTTGACTTGCCATGGCTTTTTATTTACTTTTTTGAACATAATTCTCCCAACATATTAATTGTAAAGCATTATTTTTCAAAGGAAATCCATGACAATAATAATAATTTTTATGTAAATTCAGCTTAATTATCACCCTTCTATCTGTCTGCTTGTCTTATTTATTCTTGTGTTTGTTTTTTTTTGTTGTAGGTGATGTACACATGTCAAAAGTCAAAATGTGTAAAATAGGCTTGTTTTTGTTATATTTTCTTTGAAGTATCTAATATCACAGGTTTATGTTTTTTTTTTTGTGTTTTTTTTCTGTGTTGGTGTTGTGTACTCAGGTGAATATGTTATTTGTGATGTTACTCTGAGTGTATATCCACACCGAGCGAGCTTGAAAAATATGCCCGGCCACAGAGGGATTTGAACCTACGACCTTTGGAATACTAGCCCAATGCTCTTCCAACTGAGCTACGCGGTCAGGACGGTTCGAGTAAGTGATATTTAGGAACTGAATCTAGTTCCTTCGATACCAATGTATTCTAGTAATATGATATATTTTTTTTGGCTAGTATTCCAAAGGTCGTAGGTTCGAATCCCACCATGGCCGGGCATATTTTTCAAGCTCGCCCGGTGTGGATATACACTCAGAGTAACATCACAAATATCAGGTTTATGTTTGTTTTTTTGTGTATAATTAAGCCCA